TAGCATCGTGGAAACAGGCCTTAATTGTTGAGCAAGCGCTCAATGATTTCTTAACATGATTGGCTGGATCTAAAAGTACTAACCAATCATACTGAGCGCTCGCTCAACAGTTGTGTCTGCTGAACGCGGCCTACGGCACGCATGCGCATGAGCACGATACAAGACACAAGCCTGGACGGGCCGTTCTAACCTACCGTTACCCGCCACGTACAATTCGGTCCGGTATCATATGCTCGTGTAGCCAGAACACAAGCGACGCGTCCGCAGGCGGGCCTGATATGATATCCGCCGAAAGTTTCGTATGATATCCGTCGTGTAAAATGGCCGTCACTAAGAAACATACGAAGTTATTCGTCTGCGCGGCCGGTATATTTGTGTGCTACTTCTACTTTGGTATGCTGCAAGAGAAGATCACGCGCGGGCAGTACGGCGATGGGGAGAACCGTGAGAAGTTCACCTACATGTTCGCGCTGGTCTTCGTCCAGTGCCTGCTGAATTACGCGTTCGCCAAGACGATCTTGCTGACGGTGATGAAGCAGGGCGAGGACACCACGTCGACTCTGTACTACTCGCTCTCCGCCCTCACGTATCTTCTCGCCATGGTGTGCAGCAACATGGCACTGCAGTTCGTCAGTTATCCGACGCAGGTGATCGGTAAGGCCGGCAAACCCATACCCGTCATGATACTCGGTGTACTGCTAGGAAAGAAGGTACGTAACAAACTCTATAGATCTATCTTTCGCAGCACAGTTCTCGGATTTCCCCTCCGTCTCTGACAATTGTCCCTTCTCCGCAGGTATATCCGATTAGAAAGTACGCGTTCATCTTCTTGATCGTCATCGGAGTCGCGTTGTTCATGTACAAGGACGGCAACGCCTCGAAGAAGCAAGCGGAGTCGCAGCTGTCGGTCGGCGAGTTGCTGTTACTGCTGTCGTTGATGATGGACGGACTGACGAGTGCGGTTCAGGAACGAATGCGGGCGGAGCATAATTCAAAGTCCGGCCACATGATGCTTAATATGAATCTCTGGTCTGCTATCTGTAGCGGCACGGTAATTCTCATTTCCGGGGAGCTCGTTGAATTCATTCGTTTCCTCCAGAGATACCCAGCTACCATATGGCACCTGATGACATTCTCTATAGCCGGGGCGTTCGGGCAGTACTTTATATTTCTAACAGTAGCCGAATTCGGCCCACTGCCCTGCTCAATTATAACCACCACTAGGAAATTTTTCACCGTTTTAGGCTCTATATTAATCTTCGGCAATAATCTCTCGCCTAGGCAATGGATAAGTACGTTTGTAGTATTCTCAGGTTTATTCCTCGATGCTATGTACGGCAAAGATAAAAGCAAGAAGGATACTGTAAAATAGAATGTGATAATTATCTCAGCATTTACTTCAGGCGGCAGACTAAGGCCCGGTTACGCCGGCGTGGCACAGTTTTAGCTTCAGCTTCATTCACTCTTCGTCGCTTGATATCTGTTTTCCCTAGAAAGAGACGAAGAGTGAATTGAGCGACGCTGGTGCAACCGGGCCTAAGCAATGCACTCCCGGCATTTAAATCATCATATCGCCACAGTAATTTATAATTTACTATAAATATATTAGGGTTTCTATTCTGAATCGCGGATGTAAATTATTAGCAAAGGCGTTGTTATACTTCCGTTTATATTTTTGTAAATGGTACAAAATAAGCGAATGAAAGGAAATTGCGTAATTTTCTACATTTGCACAAAGTTAATTTAGGGATAAAAACGGATAAAAAGTTGATAGCATATGTAAAAATATAATAGAATGTCTAATTCTAACAATTTTTCATTATCATTGGCACAGTTAATAATTTTCTGAGAATCGAGAAATGGCTTTAATATCAAGGTGTTTACATTTTTGTTAATTAGTAGATTATGTAATCTCACATTGAGACTCCTGATCTTCCTCGTTGCGTGTTGAATATTGGAAAATTATATGAATTCCGTTGTGCTGTATATAAAAATAAATTAGGTTTTTCACGTACTACCATTTTGACAGCACAGATTGATAAAATATACCGAATATTTATCTCAATTTGGAGGAAAAAATTGATAAACGGTTACAAATTTAAATTGTCAATTATGATAAATTCAGGTTATTTTGTTGAAAATATGATTGAATGTACATTAACGTACACGTTTAGTTATCACATACATATAGCAGAGGCTGATGTGCAGAACAAAGGAGATTTTTGACAGAAAAAATTTGAATTGTGACTAGAAAATGTAAGATTAAAATCTGATTTATTATTTCTGAGGTTACGATTCGACATAATTGTAAAACGAGTCGGAAATTTTCAGATCGGTGTATGCTCTAGACGCATCTATCCTAATTTGAAGCAGAACTTTTCGCCCTTTTATTCGTCCTGATTCCACGTAAGTGGGTTTTTTTTTATGCATCACTGCGTTTATACTTCGGCCAAAAGGTTGTATGATTGCGTGAGGTCTCACGTTCGCGTGCGAGTTTTTACTCTTTACGTTTTCGTTCCTTGAGACTTTCAGAAAGCTGCATAATCATGGCATAATTAGACATAGGCTGTCAAGACAAAAGGATAAGACGAACATTGTTCGCCCTTATAAAAAAAAACTATTGAGAGCGAATTAACTATTGGACTTTCAATAGTTAACTATTAGATTTGAATAGTACGTACTATTCAAATCTAATAGTTATCCAATAATTAATTCGCTCTCAATAGTTTTTCAATAGTTTTTTTTCATAAGGGCGTAGTTATTATATATTAATGTATATATTACGAGTGTATATGCGTTTATGACATATGTATGAAATTCACTAAAGCTGTACATAACAAAGTAATATAAGAGATGCGATAAGCAAATCCTACCATTTGTTAGAGAAGTCGAATTGCATTTAATTAATCCTCATTACTGAGAACTGTGTCTCACCAATGGTATTGGTGCTTTGTTTTGTACGTTGGAAAATATTTATTTGTGTTAAGTATTTGAGGCTTTTGCGTTTCGATATGTATTATACATATAATATGATAGATATCGCGAGACACGGTATTGTCTCGCGCCAAGTTTGGGTCCTTTTGGGTCCTTTCCGCGGCACTTATTTATTTTTACTTACGCTCTCCTGTGTATATAGCAATATAACATAGTAGTAATGTAATCGACTATATAATAATTAATTAAAATTAAAACGAAGAGAAACAGGTGGGACAGCGTGTGTCCCGCTACGCTTGAAAAGACTTGAAGGGGTCAAACGACAGCCAAAAGGGCAAGAAAAGAAGAAAAGGGTAGATGACAATTTTTTAAACGCGGGGAACGTGGTTTGAAAAAAGAGAAACAGTACAGACCTTGAACTCGGGTGTCGCCACGGTCGCGTTCCGATTAATTTCGTCGCGGTTCGCGGTCCAGTTCCAGGTTCCAGTTGAGTTCCTTCGGTTCAGTTCGGGCCGTGCGGGTTGAGGCTCGCGCTCGAGTGTCCTCGGTACTCTACGCTCGCCGGGGGAGTACCGGGTCGCTGGGAGCCGCGGGGTCTCGCGAGTCGTCACGCGCAATCCTGCGGCCCGCGTCAGGCGAGAGCGATCGCGCGTCGCTGCACCTCGATGCGACCCCGTGGGTCGCGCGCGCGCGCGCACCACGTCAATTTGCATCGCACGTGCGATGTACGCGATCACCTGACGGAGTCGCTCTCGATTCTTAAACTTTTGTTCGGTGAGTGCGCGGCGTCCCTCGGGGCCTCCGGCCCCTCCGTCGCGACCGCGTCGCTTCTCCGCGCCGTCCGCTCGCGGCGGAGCGAGTTTGGATACGCTCGGGAATTACGGCCAGTACGCGAGAGGCGAGCGAGGAGGTGCAACGCGCGGGTGCAAGTGCAAAAGGGAGATTCTTTATCGGCCACGAGTAAACAATGCTCTATTGACACGATGGGTAGAAAACAAACGAACGGCGATTCCACTTCGTTCCGAGGCTGGTGCTCCGTTTTCTCGCGCCTTCCCGCGCTCGCGTGGAACGACGACGGCGAGATCGCGCTCGCCTCGTACTTTCTTTCTCTCTTTCAGTCCCGCGTCTTCGAAATCGAATCCCGGTGTCTCCCGCGCGGCGGACGAGCACGCGAATATCAACGGGACTACGAAGGTTTAACTCGCGAAGGTTACCTCGCCACGTGACGACGAATCGTCGATTTTCCCGCCGATTTCGTGCCTCGCGCCGCCGCTGCAATTTCGATCGATTCGCGTCGATCTACGAACATAATCGCATTCGAGGTCGAACGGATCGTACTTGCGCGAGCAATTGGCGTCGCCGGTGCACCTTTTCCAAACGCGTCTCGCTGCCTGCCCACCAGAATTCCATTTGCTCCGTCGAAATCCTCGTATTCTACTTTAAGACGGTCCCTCTTCTGCCCGTTCTACACCCAGGGACGATCCCACTTGTGGCTCGTCCGAGCGAGAACGTAAATGGACAGAGAGCGTCGTGTTGAGGCCGTTTATGAACTCGGGTGCCATTTCTACACAAAAAGACAGTCGAAAATGACAGTGAATCATACAAAAACCATATTTAGTAAGATAGTCATATTTAAATGCCCGTGTAAACGTCTCCACACGGACGAGCCGCGAGTAGGATCGTCCCTGGGTGTAGAACGGGCAGCAGCCATCTTTTTCAGCGCTCGATTGAAAATTTCAAACGCCAATATTTGTCCTATTACACCCCCGAACCGAGTGTTTTATGTATGAAAGTGTTCTGCTTATCCTGGTATTATTTTGTGCAGAAAAGCCAACGGAAAGAGAATTGCGAGCGCAAAAGCTATACGCTTGACTGTGTCGGTAAGAAAGATGGCTGAGGGATCTTCCTGAGGCAAGACTTCATCGTAAACCTGTGGGCTTTGCTTTCAGCTAGCATGATTTGTCGAGACAGACGCAACGGGATAATATGGTGTTGCCCCGACACGCGCGTGACAATCGCGATTGGATGTAGGCTGTATATTATCTGTTAACGATTTACGATTTGTTATCCGGTTGGTAAAAGATGATCGTCAAGAACAAGTCCTGCCGATTGGTGAGTAGCGAATGCGTCTCCAGCGATAAGCAACGTATCGATCTCGTGGAAATTAACGCGCAACGTTCGTCCGATTATTCCGATTATTTTGCTTTACGTCTATATTTTATTTCACTTGTAAAGCACTGAATTTGTTGTACTTTATCGAGCAGGAAGTAGAAACAGGAGCCTCGCTATCCCATATTAGGATCTTGTAATAAAAGACTACTCTATATAGAATTATATAAAAATATACATCAAATATGTCCATACATATTGTATATTTTTATATAATTTGATACAATTCTACACAGTTCTATATAATTTTGTAGATTTTTACATGCTTTTATATGAAAGCTACGAAATATACAATGTAAAAATATGTATGGACATATTTCATGTATAATTTTATATATTTATGCACGCTTATGAAACACTTTTTACCGGGTGAATGTGTAATTGAAGACTATGTTCGCAACCTGTGCAGAGGGTAGTAGAGTTTTAATGGAATAGAATGTTCTCTCTTCGCTGTGCACACATTTTGTTAGCTTTTTCCTTGAATTGCGCCGCTGCGTTTACATATTACACAATACAATGACGGTTTCACATAGAGACCTCAATTCATGTAGCTTTTATTAATCTGCACACGGTTCAATACATGCATATTTAAAATTTTCCGTTTCAAAAATACGAAAAAAATGATAAAACAGTTATTTCATTTTATTACCTCTTTTTTTATCTTTGAACCTTGGGTCTGAATGAATAATAAATTAAAAAGCAGTAATAGAGAGTTAAATCATGGACCAGTTTTGATATAAATCGACAGGAAATAAAACAGCCAATATGGTCCGAGCGGGCTGCAGGTAGCCCAGTGGTTTTCTGTAATGTGTGAATTTACATACGGTTTTCCAACCCGTAAAAATAGCAAAATAGTATCTTGTATGTTATGTTATTTTCTTTTTTTCCCTATCAGTTCTGATTATTTTTCTTTAGAACACTGCTTAAGTTAAAGTGAGCACAAGTTCCATCAAAATGGCAATTGAAAGTATTATCTGCGGTGGAAATACCCCGAAAGTGAAGAAAAAGAAAGCTAAGGTATATTTCCTTTCTTATTAACGCGTTGCTAAACACGTTATTATAGTTTGATTTTAATATTTTGCTTTTTCAATTTTGTACTGCACATTAATTAAATTTATTTCGATATTATTTAACAATTAAACTATAACGCGACGTATAACAGTGACGGGAGATTATATTGTATGAAGATTTGTAACGCATTTCAAATTACCATTGATCCTCTTCTTAGCATATAATTATCATGTCCTTACGTTTCTCGAATTGCAGACAACTGAACGCAGTTGGATAGAGGCAACATTTCAAAAGAGGGAATGTGCCAAGTTTATTCCAAGCACTGAGGATGAACACAGGTAGAACTTTAAACAACTATAATATGTACACACGGAAAGACAAACGATGTAAAATGACAAATAATACGAAAGCAAACTCGGGACACGAAAAATTTTGCAGCCTATAAAAGTTCCCACAGTATTATTATTAATACGTTTATATTTTATTCTGTAATAACAGATATTTAAATCAGTAAAACAGCGTGTGCTATAGAGCGTGTTATCAAATTAGCGCAATCAATTTAGGATGGACACATAAATTCATTGTTTCTCATCAATCAATCTGTTTTATTCTTCTTTGGTCATGTCACCTACTATCTATCACCACGTTACGATTGGATTGCCTCAACCACCAGGAGTTGCACATTTTAATGCACTGTCGATTTGTCGATGCATGTCGATGCATTTCAATAACAAATTTAAATCGGAACATTCATATCCCTAATTCGCATTTCTTTACTCACCCATCCATTGGTTTGAGTTTCTTTTTTGTTTTATTCCATTTGTAGGTTTGTACACGTACAGGGAGATAAGAGTGCCGAATATGATGTGATTACTACTTCCAGGTGAGAAACTCATATACATCTTGCTTTGACTTAAAAATCCTGTTTACTTTCGTAACCATTTAAAGTAACATTTTTTCCGCATCATGCCTATCTCATTAGGGTGCGTATACACTACGGCGAACGAACGGCGAACACGAATGTTCGGACGTTCGTATTCGTATTCGAATCCCGTCCACACTGCGCACGAACTTTCGACTCGGACCGAAGGCGAATCGAACACTACCGATAGTTCAGTTCGCATTCGCTGTGGTGTACATATCTGTCTAATTCGCTGTTCGTTCGCCGTTCGTTCGCCGTTTGTTCGCCGTAGTGTATACGCACCTTTACATGAACTTTATCATGCTTGATCATCGTCTTTAACTAAACTGTATTAACTATATTAACTTCCTTTTATATGGTATTTGTTTCCCTTCTCACATTTAAGCATTAAAAAGTATATATTTTATACTTACATATGAAACTTGTATATTATACCATTAGATATATAGCTATAATGTAGTACCGTTAAAAAGTTTCATGCTTTATAGCATACGCACAACAATTTTATAAACAGAATCTGAAACTGTAGTTATTTTTTTTATATATATGCCAACTGTAGTTTTATATACGTGTATGGCCAACGTAAATATATTTGTACACGATATATTGTATTGTTATATAGATGTTGCTGTGGCAATTCATACACCCATCATTGTGGAACAGGGGCAGATGTTCAAAGTTACCATCTTGGTGAGAGCAGGGAGAAGGATCGTGAGCAATGGTCTCCAGGAAAAAATACTCGTCCCTTTCCCACTGATGCGTACGGTACCATAGAATTTCAAGGTGGCCCGCATCCTACGAAAGCACAAGTATATATCCAACGCTTTTTGCATTATTACGTTCTTGTAGTAATAATTATATTCTTGTATTTATGAACGAGGAACTGACATTGTATATTACTTGTAGTACGTAAGATTGGCTCATGATACACGACCAGAACCGATCGTACAATTATTATGTCGGGAATGGAATTTAGGCTTGCCCAAATTGTTAATTACAGTCCATGGTGGTCGATCAAATTTCGAGCTGCAACCGAGCTTGAAGAAAGTTTTGCGTAAAGGCTTATTGAAAGCCGCTAAGACGACAGGAGCGTGGATATTTACAGGCGGAACAAACACGGGTATATTTTTATTAGATAGCGGAGTTTCTGCTAAATTAATTGGCATCATCTGTTGGTTTCACCATGATTTTATTGTCCTTGGAGTGAATTCTGTTTAGTGGAAAATTGATTGTTAGATCGTGTAATCGCTGTGAAAAAAGATTTGTGATTGAATTTGTACGAAAACCTACTATTTCATACTAGTATATCATAGTAGAGGACTTTCCTTTACCAACGTAGCTTTAATCATTTTCATTTCTCAAGCTAATATGAGATAGCAAGGTTCCTACTAAATTAATAGGCATCATCTGTTGGTTCCATTATAAATTTATTGCCCTTGGGGTGAAATCTGTTTAGAAAATTCATTGTTGACCCTTAACTGGCACACTTTACCAGAATCACATAGCTAGCACACTGAGAACAAGGCATGGCACCACAAGTACAACTTTTGTACTACAAGGAGGTTTAATTTTGAGCTGAACTAGGTTGGGCGTTTAATACCCCACGGTGCCAGTTAAGGGTTAAATCGCGTAGTCGTTGCGAAAAAAGATCTGTGATTGAATTTGGATATTGAAAACCTGCTATCTCATAGTAGACTATCCCATAATAGAGGATTCTCTTTTATTAATTATACACGTTAATTTTTGTAGGTGTTACACGACAGGTCGGTGACGCATTATTGTTGGAACGCTCTCAACGACAGGGTCGCGTAGTAAGTATAGGTATTGCTCCTTGGGGAATCTTGGACAAAAGTCACGAATTAGTTGGTCGCGGTGGAGAAGTATCATACGATTGCGTCTCCTCACCATGGTAAGATTGCATATTTACAATGTATCCATATATTATGTATCGAGACATTATGCGATTTTCTAAAATATGTTTGTATTTCATTTTGCAGGACCAAGTACACAGTATTAAACAATCGGCATGCTTACTTTTTGCTAGTAGACAACGGAACTGGCGGTCGGTATGGCGCGGAGATTGTTCTCCGCAGAAGATTAGAAAAATACATCTCCAATCAAAAATTGCAGCCATGTAAGCATTACAATTAATTATTACGTATACTGGAATTGTATAATTCAAAGCGCTCTGACTCGTCGATGCTTCCAGATACACACAGCAGCATACCGGTGGTCGCGTTAGTTATCGAAGGTGGAACACATACAATCCGCGCAGTTTTGGAGTATGTGACGGATGATCCACCTGTGCCCGTTGTAGTTTGTGACGGCTCGGGACGTGCAGCTGATCTAATCGCTTTTATGCACAAGTAATGACAAGCTTTCACAATACTCGCGCATATCTTGTAGAAATACATTGTTCACGAAGTGTATTTTTTATGTAGATGGAGAGATGGGCAGACCGGTGATGGAGAAGGACCGCTGGAGGGTGTCAAGGAACAAGTTTTGGAAACTATTAAACGCACCTTTCAAGTCTCTGCTGAACAAGCGAGCCAGCTCTGCTCGGAGCTCTTGCAGTGTACACGAAAAAAACATTTGGTATCTATTAATATTTGATGCTTTTATTAGAAATAAGACTTGTAGCGCGTAAATGTTGAACTGAAAATTGTTCAAGTTATACCCTTGTAGATCACTGTGTTCAGAATATCACAAGACAGGCCGCAAGAGCTTGATCAAACGATACTGACAGCCCTGTTTAAATCGAAACAATTATCCCCGGCCGAGCAGTTGTCTCTTTCTTTAATATGGAACCGCGTGGACATCGCCCGAAGTGAAATCTTCGTCTACGGTCAAAAGTGGCCGCCCGGTGCTTTAGATCAAGCTATGATGCAAGCGCTTCAGCATGACAGGATAGACTTTGTGAAACTTTTATTGGAAAATGGAGTATCCATGCGAAAGTTTTTATCGATACCTCGTCTTGAGGAACTATATAATACGGTAGGTCAACTTTATTTCTGTACCGACAACTTTCCTTAGTAAACAATATAAATATGGATACAGCAAATACATACAAGTCAAAGCGCTTGATAAATAAGCAATTTCAGTTTTTATTATAATACATTTATATTTTGTAAAATATATAGACATATATATATATATATATATTTGTGCGCGCGTACACAGTCTAATCATAAAAGGGAAGATTATCGAAATAATTCACTTGAAAAACTGGATCATTATAATTTACATAGAACGTTGAGCGATTATTTACTTATAGGAATCATTTCTCGATTTCGATGATTTTGAAATATGTTGTCAGGTTATTATTTTGAGATTGTTGTGAAAAATTTAGCCATCGCTTGTAGTTTATTAAAAAGTTATTAACTAAATTAAAACTAATGGTTCGTGTGATAAAATCAGGTAATAAATAATTAGCTCAGAGCCCGAACAGGATGGTAGTGTCCATTAATTACTTTTAATTGTGAAATTATATAGTATACGTTTCGGTCTTAACTAGACCATCTTCAGGAGAGATAATTTAGAGAATATATTCGCAATTTCGACATCCACAAGAAGTGCGCAGTCACAATTACATAAAATCATCGCGATGATTGTGACTGCGCACTTCTTGTGGATGTCGAAATTGCGAATATATTCTCTAAATTATTTCTCCTGTACTGAAGATGGTCTAGTTAAGACCGAACGTATACTATATAATTTCACAATTAAAAGTAATTAATGGACACTACCATCCTGTTCGGGCTCTGAGCTAATTATTTATTACCTTATTAACTAAATAAGTTAAATTGTTCCACGTGGGTTTCTGACTCCACGTGAAGCAAGATTCGCCCTGACCTACCTGGTTTCCCTAGGTAATCCCTATAAGTGAACAATTATTGAGCATTGTAATATACATATTTCTCTTTCTTCTCGAATTAACCAGAAAGAAGGCCCGTCGAATACACTCGGCTACATCTTGCGCGACGTACGGCCGAATATCCCGCGAGGCTACATGTATACGTTGCACGACATCGGCCTCGTGATTAACAAGCTGCTGGGCGGTGCGTATCGCGCGCAATACACGCGGCGAAGATTTCGCATGATTTATACGAAGGTGATGAAGAGATCCGGCGGTCATCAGCAGCATTTGCATCGGAACAGCTGCGCACCGAACTGCAATACTCGCTATTACGCGGGCTCCAGCGCAAAGTCTGACAGCCTGACCATGAGTCTCCTCGCCGAGACGTTGCCGGCTAATCGCGATACTCCTCTCTTCGATTATCCCTTCAACGAGCTGCTTATTTGGGCCGTGTTAACAAAGCGTCAGCAAATGGCTTTGTTGATGTGGCAGCACGGAGAGGAAGCGCTGGCCAAGGCTCTTGTCGCGCTGAAACTGTACAAGGCGATGGCGCACGAGGCGGCCGAGGACGATTTAGAAACGGAGGTCTATGACGAATTGCGCGGTTACGGCAAAGAATTTGAAAACATCGGTATGCATGAATACGAGATAAATCTTAGATGTAAAATCGCTCTTGTGTACGACCGAGTGCAAATTGTACGTTTTCTCGTCGTAGCGCTCGAATTACTGGACTATTGCTACCGACAAGACGACGATCAAACGCAGCAGCTATTAACTTCAGAACTTCAAAATTGGTCGGGGCAGACATGCCTGTCACTCGCAGTTACGGCAAATCATCGGCCGCTACTCGCGCATCCTTGTAGCCAAATCATCTTGGCTGATTTATGGATGGGTGGTCTTCGCACGCGTAAAAATACTAATTTAAAGGTAATAAATCCAATCTGTTGTAACTTGTCCGATTTTAATTAATCAATCGAATATTCAATATTTAAAACACGCGCATACTCTTAGGTGGTTTTGGGGTTGTTTTGTCCTCTGTACATAACACGATTGGAATTCAAAACCAGAGAAGAATTACAGCTGATGCCCCAAACTCAGGAAGAGCATCTGATTGCTTTGGAAGATGAGAAGGAAGATAGCGATTCTGAACACAGTGTTCCAGCAGGACCAGATGTCGAGGTAATTATTTTGCAACTTAGAAATTACAGTATAATCATAAACAATTGTTAAAGTATGATGATAAATATTTGTTAAAGAGTTCCAGATATTCTTAGTTAGCTATGTGTCCTGAATACGTAATATTTTTCAGGAAAGACATTGCAGTAACTTACTAACTTAAAAGTTATGTGAAATAAATTGTACTAATCACATAAAAATACAGTGAAACAATACAAATTTAATATATCGATTGTATTGTTGATTTAGATTGTGCAGACCTCCTAAATGTTCTGGGTGCAAGACATTAACAAATTTTTGTTTTGACAACTTGTGTAACAAATGTATAAAATTATATGGTCGCTGGCCTTAGAAGAGAAGTTTCCGCGCTCTAAAATTATATGCATACAATACAACACATACGTAGCTTCGAAATGATATTCATTTAGACAACATCTGGTCCAGTATTAATGCATAGTCCTTCTCACATATCTTGTATCTTAAGCTTACATCTTTCATTTTAACAGAATTATACACCATTTCATCCTTATGATTGAAACGATACAATCTTGCCTTTTTCTTTTGCTTACTTTGTAATATTTGCGCCATTAATATGTTGCACCACGCCATAATTGCTGGACTAAGGAATGTACTTTTAATACATGCAATCTCAAAACTTAATCGCTTTCTCTATTAAGGGTATATTGAACTACTTATAATATGTAAACTATGTAGGTACGCGTATTAATTATTTTTTAGAAACGTCTGCGCAGGAGCCTGAGCATACGCAACAAATCCAGCGACCAACAAGGCGTTAAGGTATATCTACATTGGCCTGAACGCAGTGATCCTCTAACAATAATCACAATCTTTGGTGCACTTTTAAGCTACTGTTCTTTTTTTGTTTTTAGTTCTCATCAGTCACAAACGCAGTAGTTGTTTCATGTACATTCCAACATTTGTCTTGCAATGAATAATAAGACAGTGAAATGTATTTCATCAAGAAATTTTTCAGCTTATAACTGTTATTAGATGTACATGTGCATTACACACAATGAATTGATCAAAGTTGGTTAAACGTACGAGTTAAACTTGTGAATCATCTTGATACTAAAAAGAAATTAATTTCCTAATTAATAACTATTTACATATTTATTATAAATACAACTTTTACAACTCAGACAATTATATATACTTTACATAATTACGTAGTTTATTGGTAGCTAAAGTTTGTTAATATTTGTTTTTAAGTAATTAAAAAATTTCAACACGATTTGAGACTATAATTTATAATTAATTCTTTATTACAGCAATATATGATATCTTTGTTTAATGTGCTAAAAGAAAACAACTTTTCTGGAGTGTATATATATTATGGTGTCCTTGCAAAAACTTTTAACCTTAATTTTTTTCTTTACAGACAACTTTTTATGTCAGAAATTGATAATTAAGTGTACATATATGTTATGGATTATATAATCGACTATGACACATTTTTTTAGATTTTATCTTGTGGTTTTCCAATTTCTTATTGTTGTTTAAAAAAAGCAGACTCCTTTTTCTCTTTATTTGCTTAACTAACGGACTAGTCAAATATATACAAGTATATATAATTTGAGATATAAAGTACAAATTTGCTTATTTTGATAAACCGATAACCGAATTCTCGCTTTTGCTTATTAACACGAAGGTAAACTTTTAAAACAAATGTCTATTTCATGTCTTATAAAATGTGCAAATGTTTCTCGCCTTACAAGTATTAGATACTACTTTATCTAAGTAACTTCGCCTATAATTTATATATCTGAATTACATGTTATGCTACTTTTTCGTGAATGATTGCTATATCAAACTGAATTAAACTTCCTTCTTTCTTTTCGTTAAACATTTCAAGATTGATATCAGTATCCATTTAACTATGCATCGAGAAACTTATTAAATTTTATGTATGTAATGTCTTTTCCAGTACACGAACAATTTACTTGAATAGTTGTAAACTATTTATCTTTTTCCATAGGCTTTAATTAGCAATGAGCACAGCACAATAATCAAGGAGACGATTGTCCAAGAGAACGGAAAAGTACTTACAGACATTGATGATGGAATACATCGCGCTTACGGTCTTCAATCTGAATATTACGATAATAAGACAACTAGACCGTTAAGACTGAAGAAGAAGTTATACGAGTTCTATACCTCTCCAATAACAAAATTTTGGGCAAATGCTGTAAGTAGAAACATATGTATTTATCATCTTAATAAACTCATGTATAAAATTATCACCTTAAAAATTACCTTTTCACAAAAAGGCAAAAAAGATCAGCCGCGCGGTATCTCTTGATATGTAGAGGAAAGTCCTCTATTGTGAGATAGGCTTCTAATATAAGATAGCAGGTTTTCAACATCCGAATTCAATCGCAACTCTTTCTTCGTTTACACGATCTAACAATGCATTTTCCACTAAACAGATTTCACTCCAAGGGCAATAAATTCATGATGGAACCAACAAATGTGTCGAGACTTATATTTATATTTATTAATATAAGCAAATATTACTACTGTGACAAAATGTGAGGATATTCTTTTCTTTTTGCAGATAGCCTACATTATTTTCCTACTTTTCTTCTCGTACTGCATTTTGGTGCATATGGACGATCATCCGTCAGTAGCCGAAATATACGCGATCGCATACATCTGTACTCTCGGGTGTGAAAAGGTACGTGAGATAGCAACATCGGAACCTGCAACGCTCTCGCATAAGTTCAGCGTGTGGGCATGGAACATGTGGAATCCCTGCGATGCCGCTGCTATTATATTTTTCCAAATTGGACTGGCGTTACGTTTGCGGCATTCGACTTTATATGTAGGTCGCGTCATATACTGCGTTGATTGCATCTACTGGTACTTACGAATACTCAACATTCTTGGGGTCAACAAATATTTCGGTACGCTTGAAATATTAAATTTAATGACAACTTGCTTGCTTTTTCATCAAGCTATAAATAAAACTATATAGCCACTGTAATTAAATAATTAAATATGATAACGTATCCCATACAACACGCATGTCTAAGGCCCGGTTTCACCAACGTTGTTTAACTTTAAGCTTAGCTTAATTCGGTCTTCGTCTCTTTTCAACTGTTACTTTAAAAGAGACAAACGTGAATTAAACTACGATTAAAGTTAAGCGACGTTTGGTGAAACCAGGCTTAAAAGACATCTTTAAGACGCCTTTTAGACATAATTTATATTTCGTAGGTCCTCTGGTGACTATGATGGGAAAGATGGTGAAAAATATGATATACTTTGTGGTGCTTTTACTGGTGGTACTCATGAGTTTCGGCGTAGCCAGACAAGCTATATTGAATCCCAATTCTGAACCACAGTGGCGCATAGTACGAGACGTACGTATACATTTTCTATTTGACGTACATTTCTAAAACGAAAATCTGCACGTACACATATTTTTTTTTTAATCGTAAGCTTACATTAATATTATACTTTCTATTGACAGATATTTATGGAGCCGTACTTTATGCTGTACGGAGAGGTATACGCGGATAATATAGATCCTGATTGTGGGGATGAACCGGGAATGAGGCCGTGTCTTCCAGGTCGTTGGCTCACACCTGTAGTACAGTCCGTGTATCTTTTAGTTGCCAATATTTTGCTGATAAATCTGTTAATTGCGGTATTTAACAATATTTTCAATGAGGTAAATGCTATAGCTCATCAAGTCTGGATGTTTCAACGGTTTACGGTGGTTATGGAATATGAGCAGAAACCAGTGTTACCGCCACCGCTTATAGCGATTTGCCACGTATATTTACTGCTGAGATATTTTCTGAAGCATATTACGCAAGGTAAAAGTACCACCGGCGAGACCTACGACAATGGGCTGAAATTATTCCTGGAGGCCGACGACATGGAACGACTGTACGACTTCGAAGAGGACTGCGTCGAGGGCTATTTCCGCGAGCAGGAGCTCAAACTGCAAATGTCCACGGAGGAGCGCGTGAAAATTACAACAGATCGGGTAGAGAATATGCATCAGAAGATCGAGGATATCGATAAGAAAGAAAGCAATCAAAACGCATCTCTTCAGGTATATAACTTTTACAAGTTTGTATACAATTTAGATATTTTCTTATATAAAGTACTGAGAGGAAATTTAAACTTTTATGAAATATAGTCGCCAGAAGAAGCGACGAATGCTTAATCAATATAAAACACGGATAATTATATTTTATAATATACATATACCAAAATTGCAGGAACTCACAAAACACCTTTCAATGATCGTACTTAAATATTTTTGTGTATGACGAAGGTAGTCGATTTATACAAAGATAGTAGTGACTAATTAAGTCACCTAATTACCAAAACTGAGAATCGATTAAATATTTGGATTTCTCTCGATTTTTGAACTTTCTTTTTCAATTCTGTATGTGTATACAAGATCATTGTTATATTTACAGTCCGTCGAGTTTCGCATCCGCAAGTTGGAGGAGTTGAGTCAGCAGACTTTAGCGCATCTCGGAGTGATTCATCGTTTCATGGCGACGTACATGCCGAATGAAGAACTCGCCGGTTTAGACACGTTCGAAAACATTCGGCAGCGTCGGGTATCGGAGCGATCGGAGGCTCTGTCCGAGGCGGATTCTCACACGCAGCTGCCAATGATTGCTCGGCGCAAAAGGCTTCTGCGATCTCTTACCGATGCTGCTTTCCTGAACGTTGGCAACCCGATGGACGACGTTCTCAAGGCGTCCGATGTTATGGCTTCCCGTGAAAATCTCAGTAGACACGATTCTTCCATAAGCGTGGACGCTCAGGTCGTCGGTCAGGACGACGTTAAAACAATTACCAGTTTCGAAACGGAAGGCAGCAAAGACGTCCTCGAGAGCGAGGCGACTGGCAAGAAAGAAATACCATCCGAGAAAGGTATGAGTCAGGATATCAGCAGGGAAGTAAGCAGGGAAGTGAGCAGAGAGATGAGCAGAGAGGTCAGTACTGAGACTACCAGCAGAGAAGTCAGCAGAGAAGTCAGCAGAGAGACCAGCAGAGAGGCTAGCAAAGAGGCCAGCAGCGAGAATCCGCCGTCAGACATCAGGCAGGACTCGACGGAGCGTACTACACTCAGGCAAGACTCAGCGGAACGCAGTATAACATTCAGGCAAAATAGCAGAACTCGATCGGAATCGGACGATTTTATGCTGCTGCCTCCGCCGGGTATTCAAAGGGCCGTGACCTGGGCGGAGCCTCGCGTGGCCGTGATCCCGTCGTCCGTCACCTCGGCCGGTAGCGGACAGAGGTCGATTCTGTTGGCAATGCGGGCCGAGTACACCAGCATCACGGACGAGCTCGAGAGTTATTGCGGCTTGCTGAGCCCGCCGAGGACGCCGCCGATGTCACCGCAGCCGTCGCGGATGCGCAACATATCGGACATATCGAATCCCGAGATAGCATGGCAGATAGAAAACGAACACCTGCGCGACGCGGAGGAATGCGATTATCAACAGATGGAGAATCTGATTCAGCGACGTTACGGCGGCGACGACGGCAACAACGACGAGAACGGTGGGCCGTCGAACGCGCACGCGGATGAGGCCGGCGATGTCGCGTGCTTCTTTAACGTGTCCAACGAGCACCGCCAGCTGCGTCGTGCCTCCGCGATCGAGGAGGATCCTCGTGTCCAACGGCCGCCGCCAACGATCAGCGTCACCCGCGAGATCGAACAAACGCTCGCGCGACCACCGATCCGCGACCCGGAGGCGACCGACTCGAACGACAAGAATCTGACCACCGTACCTACTCCTGCTTCCGAAACTATGTGTTAAACTGAAACTCAAGAGGGAGAATATTGTTCGCAGAGCGCTCGAAAATTTCTTTGTGATTCGTCAAGTAATCTTTTCTTAAGGTATTGTAATTAATTCTTTCTGTTTGAATTGATCGTTTTATCGTCAACGATGTATGAAAAAGCGCAGCCAAGTGCCCATAGGCAGCTCGCCCAGTATTTCCGGAAGAGAGTTAAAGATATTCAGATTGGGCATAAAATAAAATACTTGACACATATAGTAGATTATATGCAAGTGCCCAAGTTGGACCAGAGAAATGGCCCATCTAAAATCCTACTAATGTAATACAATGAAACTCTTATAGTCAGTTAAATTGATTCAGTTTTCAGCAGTGTTTAAAGTCAATTTGATCGGTATTAATCTTATTTTTCTGATTTTCATTCAGACTCGACCTTTTCTGACATTGGACTTAATTGGACTTAAAGCTGTGCTTAATCTGAAGAGGAAAATAAGTAGCATCTGTGTGGTGGCAATCACAATTTACATCATTTTCAGTTCTTTTTTTGTACCGGTTCAACAAGATCTCAATTTCATCATCCCAATGAGTGACCAAGAGTGGTACGCGGGGCCTTAAATAAGTTGATATAGTAAAGGAATGAGTGTATACTTGGTTGTTTAAAAAATACGTGCAGTGGCACTTGACATCTTAAATGGTCCACATCTCTGTAATCTTAACTCTTTTCCAGAAATATAATTGGACGGAACTTGGCCGCAATCTTTTGAATGTTTTTAACGGTTGCAGAGATTATAAACTCATCGGAGGCCCAGTCAACTCTAATCTAATATTGTTTTTCAGTTCTTATGCTTGTTTCATTGAAGCAGATCACGTTGACACGTGATAAGCAAGTATGATAAAGTAGAACAGTGCAAAAGAAAAATGTTAGGAGGAAGTGGCCGACTCTAGGCTAGAGCAAAAAACATAGGATAGAAGATTCTGGAACAGGGGAAATTTATTACAATAATTGTAATTTTTGACGATCACCTTGTGGCATGCCAAGCTACATACGATCGTAAGAAGATCTACAAGTTTCTCGCGACTTGGAGGAATCCATTTCTGGAACTTACGCGATCACAAATGTGCAAATATGCGAAATAATTTCGCATGGCCTAAATAATAAATTTTTTTTAGTGGAAACTAAATAATTATAGTTCATGTGTAATATCGTGTATTTTTATCGACTTTTATATTATATTATTGCATCAATGCTTTTAATCCTCTACATTCTATAATAACTGTGCGACGCAGACTTAGTGTCGCAATTTATCATAGAGCACGCATTTAAATGCATTATCATCTGCAGCATATAAGAAGCACGTTAAACTTCAAATTCTTTTTGTCCATTAAGATTGTCCGTGTTTCTGAATTGTCTGGTACATCGAATTATATGAAAGTCGTAGCCCAGAAAGTTAAAGTTACGTTGCCTCTACTTGTATCCGTCACTTTTAACTGCATTCTGTGCGCTCAGAATCCTTCCATCCGATAGATTGGCATGTAACTTTGCGATTTTATACATATACGTTTATATAGTGTGTATTATTGTAAAATGGATATCAACACGTTTTTTCTTATAATGCATTATATGCTTATACATAAGTACTTGAATACTTAGCAAAGGAATTGTATCTTACGATACTTCACGTATGCATGGTTCAGATACATAATTATTGATTTAATTTGTAAAAATTTATCGCAGGAAAATTCGAATTGGAGTACAGGCTCGTCAGAATCGATTCTAGGCGTAAACACGTTAACACGAGTCGCGAGGATTGTAGCTTTATTATCCTTACTGCCGGCTACTTTACTCGCGATAATTTTTCGACATGTATTTAGAGCCTTACACGTAACGCACTTTCAGCTGCGTCAGACTCCACGGACCATTCGAAAGCGAACCATATCACGCAGACACGTTCTTAATGAACTAAGCCAGTCTGCGTTAGTACAATTGCAACTATTTGAAAATAAAACTTTGATATACACACTTGTACTTAAAAAGCCTAAACGTGTATAGAGAAATATTTTAGAGAAATTAGAGAAATATTTTAATTGTGTATTATAGTTGTTTAAAAAATCGCGGGAGGAAAATAGCGAGTTCAAGCGTGTTCAGCAAACGTTACTTAAATGTTGACGTAACTTCAACGTTACTTCATTTAATTGTTAATTATTGTAACGATTGATTCGTTATTTGTTTCGAGTGCATTTAGCAACTTTATAATTTCTGTGTAACTGAATCATTTCTGTACACTATATTATGCTGGATATATTGCATTACATTGAATGGTGTTGTAGCTATGCTAGGGCGATATTTACTTATATGTACACGCAGCAAAAGAGTTGAGATAAATCGTCAAATCGTGAATAGAAATAACAAATTCATATTTTTATTTTTTGAATAATTTGGATCTATTTTGGAGATAATTGGAGGTAATTGTGTGTGAGACTTTCTATAAAAATCTTACTGAAAATATAATTTTGCATACTTAAGATTTTCACATGTTTTTTTCTAAATTTCAGTGTACTTTAATATTTCAGACTGTTTCAAAAGAAGATATTTTTGAATATTTCAATAAAGTAAGAAATATTAATGAATATTTCCATTATTCTAGGTATTGAATTTGATGTAAAAAAGTTTTCGACAATTAGTTTGCAAATAATATATGTCGATTTTGAATGTAATACTTCTTTATAACTAGTTCCGAGCCTGGTGCTCCTTTAAAAAACAAAGTATTTCGAAATTGTACATCGATATGAAGAATCAAAAGCAATATTACATTTGTAAGATACTCAATGGAAGTATTAGCTTTATTCTGAAAAGTAATTATTAAATTAATTGCAATAATTATATATTTTACACATAATCAGGACAATATTACTGTGGATACAGATTGAATTATTTGTTTGCCTTTAAAAAGTCGTGCTCTAATATATTTGTATAAACAATTATCACATTGTTTATAAGGAAACAAGCGTTAGAAATATCGCTTAGAAGTAAACTTCTATTTGTAGAAAAGATTTTAATGTGTTTAATAAATATATTGTACAAAGGACATGTACACAGTGCGCTTGTGTACATACATATGGTATAATACACGACGAATCATTTTTGCTCAATCTTGTTCTCGTGTATACGATGTACGTAAAAGTTTTACGATACCAACAGTACATCTTTACAATATTATATGTATATACATGACATGTATTAAGATACAAATTTCTAATTATATTCGTAAAATGTCATGTAATAACGATAATAATTTCTAACAATATCGTAACAATAATAGCAAATATAATTATGCATATGTCCTTATATGTACATATATTATGTATATACAACGCATGCGTATACTTACATTTATACTTTACTGTATAGATATCTGTGTGTTTCTATCCGTCTTTTTGACGTGTTTATTTAATTACGTTCGTCTTTTCTCAAACGTTTTGTGTAAAATTTAAATGCTAGTCATAGTGAATACCATAAATTAAATACTAAAACGCATCAACCATATCACAATTATAACAAATTGTCTCGAGTCGCAAAGTATACTTACAATTAGTTTTAATAGAATACAAGTTGCAGAAATCAAACGAGCATTACGACTAGATAAACTAAGTATCACACGCCTTTTATTGTCAGGATCTATTCCGTCTAAATATTGGCAATCATTTTGCAATGTTTATTCTAGAAATGCATTTGTCTACGAACACGCGCTATCTTGTCGATTGTAAAAACGTGGATGAAAACTACCAACGAATCAGGCACCAAGTATAAGAAATAGCTGATAATTGTATCTGTAAATCGATTAAAACTATGAAATTGTGATCCTTATCACGTTATCGTCACGTAAATCGTATATCAATGTTATTGAAAACGTTACTCATGTTTTATTAGCCGCCAATATTCATTAAAGATTCAATAATCGGTATTTACCGTACTGGAACGAGGAGGTGAAATCAACAGAAATAATAACGTTTTAGCGTGCTTTAAAAAATTAGTACATTTAGGTATTTCAGCTATTGCTCGATATACAGCATACTGTATACTGTATAATGTTACACTTGTTATTGCAAGCAACTGTAATAAGTGCAATCAATATAAGCGAACAGTATTATTGATTGCGAAATTCAGAGTATGTAATTGTCCACCATCCGTGCAGTTAATGATCGTAAAATATGTGCCTTCTCGTCATACTGTCTGTTTTTTACAATATACAAAATGTGCATCCAATTTTATTAAATTTCAGATGTTGATTTTGCAACTTTTAACGCGCAAAGCGCATCGCTGTATGATTATGATCTCGAATTTTAACTGTAATCTCGGAAACGTAACAGTAATTTTCCTCAAAATGTTTGTCGTTCAAAAATCGTTCGTATTTAATATTATGTACTCCTTCTCTTCCTTCTGTGCGAAGCGCTCGCTTAGCAGTTACGTCTAAGAAAACTTATCTTTTTTGCGGTCGCTTTATATTCGATAGATGTGAACCTGTTATTATAAAAATCATAATCTGCATCTTCTATGCGACGTTGTACTACGACATCAAAATGGACTTATCCAAAGAAATATATACATGTATTATTTCAACATTGAGGTTTGTTCATTATTATATTATTACAATAATTTAATCATAGCATTGTAATCGTTATATTGTAATAATTTATTGCATGTGCAAAAACAATTATATGATATCAAGTTACAAAATACGTAAAGTGATGCTATACGGTATATGCTGCAGAAAGGTATGTTATTTCTCATAAAAGTTTTCCAGTGGAAATACTTTGCTGAAAGTACTATGAAATCGATGTGAAATGTGAAATGAAAAATATTGAAAAATTACCGAGTATGTAATCTTAAAATGTATCGTAATTTTCCTTATGAAATTCAATGTAGCACTGCAGAATATAAGGATATTTTACAGGTAATTATGGAGAGGCGTATGCAGTCCATTTCTCGGAGTCAGCATTACAAACGTGATTGAAATACTATACAGCTTAACTACGAATTTTCTATTCTATTACAGCAAATCAACCTACCGTGGCGCAAACTGAAGGAAAAATTAAAACATGATAGTGCTGTAAAAGTGACAATAATCGCATTGGAGCCTGTAAGAATACTGGAAGTTGTTCAGCCACTCCACTGGGGGAGAGTTGACTGGTGTTTCTTGCAAAGAACAATTGGATTTGTCCAATTTACTATTGAATCCATTATTAAAATAATCAAAGGTACACAGTAACAATTAAGAATATGTGTGTGTGAAAGTAGAAAGATTTAATTTGATTTACAAGTCGTTACTAGCAATCCGTGAACTCAATAATGTTAATAGACGTTTACGAGTCCGATAACTCGATGTAAACGGTTCCTTCATCGGCATTAGCACTGTTCATCGCATTCAGTAATATAGGGTGGTGCACATTCGCTGTGTTTTATACCAAACGAAAAAGCGGGGGTCGGTTTGAATGGTGGGATGGTGTATATCGGACCTGGGCCTTCGGAAATCCATTGTAATGCTCGTCTACCAGCTATAGTATACTTCGGTGCTTTCGGTTTCACCACGTCCAAGTTGTACGAATAGGGACCTGGGCTAATCGCAGGCTTTTTTGCAACTGGAGGCAGCCCCCTGCGAACAATAAAATAATTCATGTGCGAATTACTTTAAAACGAATGAAAGAAGAAAAGAGTCTGAATATATACATGGAAAAGGCTGGCGCGTCAGCAATGGGTTTGATGTAGTAAGGTCCTGGCGTCTCACTAGATTTCCTCAATTTGGTTCTCCATTTGATTGAAAAGAAAGGACCACGAGGAACGTCCGGCAACTTATACTTCGGACCAGGCCCGAACACAATTTCTACCAAGTGCAAGAGAGAAAAACATTGTAACAGTGATTAACAATGATATTGCTCGAGCAAGGAGCTTTTTACCGCAACGTTTTGCGACATGTCCGAAGGTAAATCCTTTGAGTCTACGTTCCTCGGTCATGTATATCGGTCCTGGACTTTCCGTCACTTTGAAGACGACACGATGACCGCCAATCGTATATGCTGGATTTCGATATCTTGAAATACAGTGGTCCCTGTAGCCGACAAGTGCCTTGAGCTGATATTTAGGTCCCGGAGCTGTCATAAAATAGATGATAATAAATATTTAATAATTTTGTGTGGAATTCTCTCAAATGTGAATACACCAAGAAGCGTTCAAGATTGACGAGTACTAATATTTTAAACAAGGTACTAATTGTTTAATATAACAGTATTCACATTTTTATTTTGGGTGACTTACTGTTTTATTGGAATATTATATAAAATTTACGTTTGCTTTCACCTCCACACACAATATTTAAATTAGATCTGACGAATGCGTACTGATAAAGTGGCACGTAGTGGCGCCCTTTCTCTCTATTCTTTTTTCATTTTCAGCACCCCTGCCTTTTCCACGTCTCATTTTTGGTGGCATTTTTGCACTTGTAAATTTGGAAATTCTGCTTAACGTATAATGTATTAGCACATGTCACATTACTATGATTTTGATTCCATTTTGGCGTGAAAACAATTGCTTCCCGGGAAAAAATGGAAATATCTAATTATACATGTCTCAATCATGTAATATCTAATTATATCCAATTCTAAAATCATCAGAATTTTTAGAATTAAATCTCATGAGATATAATTCTGAGATATAATTAGATATTACATGACTGAGACATATATGAGATTTTTTTCATTTATAACAAATAAACTGTGCTAGTAACTCGCACTGTATTTATATTTCAGATTTATTTATTTTTTATGTGTACGTAAAATGTTTACAGAATTATATGTCAGACTACGAAAAGATCCAGCTCTAACCGAAAATAAAATATTATAATTATTCGTGTTTGATTAGATTTATGTTGGTCCTGTTTCACTTAAAATATATTACCTATGAGTGTGCGCGTACGTGTAATGCAATGCAATATAGTATAATACAATATAGCGTGATATGTACGTGATGCGCTAAACCTTGCAGCAACAGAGATTTATTGCATAAATATTAAAAATATCTATATACAATTTTTAATTATAAAATCATTCCTCGTCCAGTTGTGTCATGGGTATTCCGGTGCATTCGCTATGCTTTATACCAAACGAATACATAGGCGAACGTTTTCGCGTATCGTATAATGGATAAAAGATCGGTGCCGGACTGTGATAAATATTTTCTAAAATGTGTCTTCCCTTTAGACTGTACGCCGGACTCCGTCGTTTTATTGTATCATAGTTTATTTTGATATATGCGGCCGGGCCTGGGCCAACAATTTCTTCGCGTGTCTTGCGATGACCAATGCTGAAAAATATGAAGTACATTATGTTGTATTATAAATAGTATTTCGGCAAAGAGATGATTTTATCACATATGTGTATATAATTATAACACGACAGATCTATCCACATTTTCTTACATAGAAAATGCGCCCTGAGCTGATTTATCGGGCACTCTGGGCCCTATGCATGTTGGCAAAAGGTACGAATTCGGTCCAGGCCCTTCGTCTAGAAACTTGGTTATCCCTCGTGACTTGATACTGTAAGCTGGTGCTCTACGATTGTGATTCATCGGTGGACACAACTCGGGAGAGTAGGCTCCGGGTCCAGGAGCGTGGTCACGCACTAAAAAATACAGAGATGAATCAATATTAATTTCCCGCGTCTCTCACAAGTTAAGAAGGCACTATCTTTTATACTCACAGCTCCATACTTTCCTTCCTCTGATTGTATAAGCTGGTGGGTTGTCTGGTCCAGATTTTGTTAAATTTCTGATATCATAATGAGGACCAGGCCCCATCACATAAGTCTTGATACCAGTTGGAGCTCGTATACTATATGCTGGACCTCTATGCCGAGACGGATCGTGGTTGTTGTAGCCAATTAACGTTGGCAATTTGTAAACTGGGCCGGGACCTGCATTCACAAATTCATATCAATATAAAATGAGTTGCGTCGTTCAAAATGAATAATTATCAAGCTTGCCTTTTATGGTACAACTTAGCACTCTTGGTTTTTCTCTGGCCTCCATTTTTACTGTCGGTTTAATTGTATGTAAAAAAAAACGCAATAAAACGTAAAGACCTATAAATACGAGTTTAAAGGATAATATTAAAACTTATGACATGATGATCTTCATGAAATTGGTAATAAAACATGAAGGTGTGAACTTGAAGCTGATATGTTCACAGCAATCGGTATATGTACGCTCAAATATTCGGTGACTTGTTGTAAAAATGACGTAGAAAGATTATGTTTTACAGCTAAAAGCTCCTTCTATTTAGAACATGTTTCAATACAGGATAAGTCATCAACATCGCTATCAAAATTATCACTTTCTCCTTCATCATTAGTATCACTATCAACGTCGTCATCTTCTTCAATTGCTAACGATTTTAGCTTCATTAATAAATCTTCCTTTTTCTTCAGACCTGCTTCATCTTCACTTCTGTCTTCGCTGTCAATCCTATCTGTGTCAGAACTGAATTCGGAGGTGCGAGATTTGCTAGGTTTTTTACTCTTTGCTAAAAAGAAACGCAAGACAAGTGCGGGTTACTACATGAAAACATTTGTCTGTTACACATAGTATACGTGTACATAAAAAATATTCTATTCATAATACGCGACATACTCGATTGCTGATCCATATAGCGTAAGAATGTTCTTCGCTTTCGTTCAGACATTGTTTTCAGAATTTCTCTAAATTCGGCATCCAGTTTAATTTGTTCTGCCTGGCTGGGCTTCCCTTCTACAATTTCCTTCTTCTGTCCGCATTTCGAGCAGACTCCCTGCTGTTTGGCGCAAAGCAAGCAGATATTATGATAAGAGTGTTTCACAGTTTTCTGCTCGCACCTGATACACTTCATCGGGGCTTTAAGCACTTTATATTTCTTGTATTTGATCCTCCACTCTATTATTTTTTTGCAACGCTCGCACACATTCGCAACCTCGGTGCTGTTAATTTGCTTCGTCCTTTTAGACTTGTCGTGCAGATCGTTTTTAAACGACGTGCGATTCTGGTGCTTTGGAGGTCTCGAACGACTAGCATTTCCCCTCTGACAACTCATGTTTCTATTGCGCGTGATATACTTGTAAATTACAACACAAGAAATCTGACTCTTCTTCAATCTCCCCACAACAATCGCTGTAGATTTTGCCACCTGAAAACGTAAGCCTGAGATAAGAGATGCATCAATAACCTAACCTAACTAGTAGAATTCTTAATCGGAGCTCTTATATCGCCCTGAACGCAGTAAGAAAAATTTCGTCGCAACATTTCTCATGCACGTAAAATTATATCGACTATCACAAATACGCACATTAAGGGCCGATGTAATGGAACAGTTTGGAGGTAACCTATTAAGTTTACCAGGCAGGACGGAATGCGTTTTCAGGTTCTCACAATTACCGACCTCTCAGGAGTCTCAGGCTTTCACTCTAGTCTTCTTCTTCTTCTTCTCTTCCTGGCCTTGCCTTCTGCCGAAGATCAATATTGGCCATAAACCTTTATCTTACTCTATTCGTATGGATAGAGCGAATCTTCCGCAACTGCGACCAGCCACGATCAGCAGTCTATTTCCACGTGTCGACGGTTCATTCTGTACACGATGGTCGATATTGAATGACTTTTTGAAACTGATACAGCCCGGGTCGCATTATAATTATTTTGATCAATTGTCAAACAGGCGCTTTTGTAATTTACTAAATTACAATGTTAGATAAATTTTAATATTTTCGTTATTCATGTAAAAAGATAGAAGACTTCCTACATTTCTAATATTTATTGCAGATATTTCTTTCTAAATCCGAAGAAGAGCCTAGCTGAATGGTGTAGGACATTGTATATTTATTAAAAATTAATTTTCTTTTGAAGTCTCCAATTTGTCCACTGGTCATAGAGAATATAGAGTCAATTAGAGTTGTCGGTTTTATTTACAAACTTACACACATATACGATGTATTATACTAAAAATTTATGATATTTGTATTCTAATTTATGCCATTTTTACGTAATTTCTACTTTATATCGGAATGGGCAACTCTCTTGCAACTAGTACCAAGATCTGATCTGTACTCAGACACCAATTTACTATATCCTTGGAAACCTTGCACCAATTTTCGCCATGATGAGGTTCTGCGGCAATGCACCTCTTCTTTACATCTTCTTGTTGCTCTTCCGTGCCGTTCAGCAATTCAAATTTGTAAAAATATGCCCACGCATCTCCTAGATCTGGATCTATCTTCACCGTTCTATTGAACCAATCTCTACACTTTGAAATCTTGTGTTCGCACCAAAATAATCTACAATAGAAAAATGTATACAATATTTGTATTATTTCAGAGACAGACAGAGAGAGAGGAGGGTAGAAGGAAGAGGGGAGAGAAACGAATAGAAGAGGAACGAATTTAATGTATAAAGATAGTCAATCTTCTAATTGCGTATAATAATTTTATATTTTTATATTGAGAAAACCTTTTTTTAAAAGAAAACTTACTTTGATACCGCCAGAAGAACGTGTGGATCATGTTCGCATTTTTTAGTAGCATCGATACTTTTAGTTTTTCGTTGAGGTCGCGGCTCCATAAAAATTGCCTCCGCCCAGAGCAAACCGGACGTCGAACATTCTTGTAATGCTTTAGCCATCAGTGTATTTGCCATGTCGCGCGCGCCACCATTTCTCAATTCGTTCCGTATAGCTTCTAGCCACAATTCAGCATTTTTCGGATTCTTAAGTCTCGCTTTCTCCAAAACCGAACGCGCTTTAGTCACTTGGTTCTTCTTGTGCTCCAATCGCGCAAGCAGACGCCACAGAGGTATTGAGTTTGGACATTTTTTGATCTGCAATAAAATGGCATGAAAAGGAAATATCCACTTTTTGTGCTTGCGTTATTAGATTAGAGAAAAATCGTTTACCGCATGATTATATGTATCTATCGCTTTGTCCAAGTAACCCTGCTGTTCCTCAATTTGACCTTTCATTAGCCACAATTTAGGAAAATCGTCGAAGGCTTCGAGAGCTTCCTTCAAGAGATGCAACGCTGCGTCAAGATTATCAAGGGCCCACTCCAATTTGGCGCTTTTCATCATCACTCTGGGCGTCGGAGCGGACGCTCTGGCTTTTGCCAATAAACGTCGCGCTCTCTCGTATTCTGAGTTTTCAGACTCGAGCTTCACTGCCGCCAGCCAAATCTCCTCGGAATTTGGATTAGCTTGAAACGCAAGAGACAAGATACCCCTAGCTGCCGGTACATCGCCCTGAAAAAATGGAATTGGAGGATAAGGAACGACGATTAAGAGAATCAAATAAAATGTAATTAATGTAACTGCGCACATGAATCTACTTACAGCCAGCCACTTTGATTTAGCACCCATCAGCCAGAGCACTTCACTCTTGGGACAATGGGCAACCGCTCTTTGCAATAAAGTCTCCAATGATTCTCGCGTGCCGTATGTCTTTTCGAAATAAGCGGCGCGCAGCCAAATTGATTTTTTACTGGGAAACGCCGTTAACGCATACGCATAAACAGCTCTGGCGCATTCCAGGGCTCCTTGTTGGGCGCACTGCAAACAATACACATCTCTTAGCGTGAATATTAATTTTAGTTAAATCCATAGACCCGTATTCTGAATCCTCTTTTGTCGAAAAACGCCTGTAAAAGTGGCTTGCAGCCAATCAGAAGACTTATTAGGGTTCAGAATACGGGCCTTAGCGTTAATAGAAAACGAGACGAAGAGCCTCACAGTTTCCGCATCCTCCATCCAGGTGTGTTTTCGGTCCTCTTCTTCTACTCCAAAACCAATAATGGCTTTAACGATAACTTGACAACAATGTACCGCTCCCGCCTTTTCAGCTTCCATAGCTTCCTTGAACCAATGTTCCCTGTTGATCTCTACCCCGTTCGCGCTCAACGAGGATATGGCACGCTCGATGATCTTCTCCACCATGTGTTTATTGCCATTCGCCTCCTCCAATTTGGCAGCGGTAGTCCAGATTTGTCTGTCAGTCGGAATATTCTCTCTGGCTTTGTTCAAGACTTTTCTCGCGTTGTCGTAGGTCTCCAATCTGGCGAGGGCGAGCCACAAGTCCACGCTCGTCGGACAGCACTCGACCGCACGGCTGAGCAGGATACGCGCGTCCTCGGGCTCCTCCAGCTCAACGGCCGCTTTCCACAGTCGCACCGAGTTCGGGATGTGCTCCAGCGCCTTTCGGTACACCCTCCGCTTCGCTTTCACCTCCGTCTCCAAGTCCGCGGCCTTTATCCAAATTCTCACGGACGTTGGTATGTGACGTACCGATTGCGCTATCACTGCTTTCGCCGTGTCAGGCGGTTGCAGTCTAGCTGCCTCCAACCACAGATCCTCGGAGGTGGGATTCACCTCGCATCCCTTCATTATTAAATTTCTCGCCGCTTGAACCTTTCCAGTCACCTCTTCCAGACGCGCCGACGCAATCCACGCAGGAGGATGATTCGGATTAGTCTCTCTGACAGATTTTAACAATAATCTGGCTTTCTTTATGTCGCTGCAAGGACAAAAAAATTGTTAAATGTTTTCAAAAATTATGCATTTTAGAAACAAATGTTTCAGACAAAAGTTGTATGGTTTCAAGGGGGACATAAGATGGTGTCATTAATTTGACATCACCTTTAATTTTTTAAACTGAAACCTCCAGTTCTTATTATATCATTTTTTTCTACTAATTAATTGGAACAACTTTTGTTTGAAACATGTTTTTAGTTGTCCAATAATTTTCGAGATATTCAAAGAAAACTTGACAACTTTTTCAATATTCATCACACGATATCGCGATAACTGTTTATCGTGAGGAAAAATGATACGCGATTCCTTTTACTTGATTTGGTGTCAAGAAAATGCTGTTGCAATAGTGCTCCAACTTTGGTAAACATCTGCGTACGCATCTCCTTGGAATTTTTACTCACTTTATGTCACCGCCGTAAGTAGGTATCATGCTCTGCAAGTCCGTGAGGTATCCCTTTGGATCAACTACCGTTTGGCCTTCCACAGAATCGGAAACCTGGTTTAGCTTGACGTTCATCAATGTGTTTCTCGCCTGTCCGATCTTTCTGAGATCAAGATCCCCCGTGGGAGTCAACATGCCCGGTGTCGCGACACCTGGCATCATAGAGGCCAGGCCGCTAGACGGATCGATGCTGGTGGAGGTCTCGCCGCCCAAGTTCCTCGCCAGTACAGAATCTGGCAGCGGGGTGAACTTCTCCGCCCTTGGATTACGCTGCTTGCGATTTCTCGCGTCTCCCACCTCGGGCACGTTCTTCCACTCGTCCTCGCTTACGTTAACCAATTCTCTTTTCAAGTCTGAGAACTGCTGCTGAATCTTGGGGCGTTCCTGACGATATCGCTCCAATTCTTCCCTGAGGCGCTTCTCCCTGTACTCCTTGCGCTTCTCGTCCATTCGTTTGTCAATAGCTTCGTAGATCGCGTCTGCCTCTTCGTCATCTTTATCGTAGGGATCCTAGCAGGAACGAGGGCATTATTGTCTGCTGCCGTTATCAAGTAGAGACGGTTGTGCTTACCTTACTAAAAAGAGAACCCCCATATCCCGAGAACTCGTCGTAATTTGAATCGTTCAGGTCCTCCTCGTCTTCCTCCTCCTCCTCCTTCTTCTTCGCACGTTTTGTAGGCGGAGCGTGTCTGTCGTCTCTGTATGAATCAGAATGAATGATTATGCACCGTAAGTCCCGACGTTTTCTCACCTGTACAATAAGCTCTGCTACTTACGAAACGTCGTTGGCGTCTCGAGCGGGACCGATATCAGACCGCGTTGTAAATCCAGTTGCCCTGGTAAGCGGACAGAGAGGTTAGTCGCGCAAATCACAATGGTTACGACCCACCGTAGTTAACAATAGAGACAAGTATTTGTAAATGTCGTATACTAGGTCTGGCTTACCCTCTACCAACACCAGCGACATATCCCAAGGGTGCCGGTACGCCTAAAAAATGCTTTTTATTTCGCGTATTTAGCGAGACCGAGGGAACCGCCATCTTTGCTTGTGTAGACCTTAAGGTCTACTTTTCATGCTGGCTCAGCTGACTGACGCTCGACCATGGCGCAGATATGCGCTCGACGCTCACGAGAAACGGAACGTAACGAACAGCGACAGTTGTGTGCATACATGTGGTCGACCTGGGTCGAACTAACTGACCCATAACCTTAACCAGACGAAAGCTCGGCCTATATATACTGCAATTAAAAATTTTATCCGCGACATGACTAATTCCACTTTCATTCTCGACAACGGCGCTTGCACAGCAAAAGCTGGTTTAGCCAGCGAGTCGCCCAAGTAAGTATCCTGAGGGGTGCGCGTTCGGGGAGCGCGCTTTTAGCGTCTTCTATCCTCGCTCGACGAAGATGGGCTGATGCTTTCAGGGACTCGTGACAAATAAAAATGTCGAATTCGTCAATGAAATTCTTCGCTCCTCACGGGTTTACGCTAGGGAGAGATTCGTGATCGAGCCCCAGCGCGCTGATAGCGTCTCCCCGAACGCAGCCGAAGTAGCAGGCAAATGTATGCATTCAGTAAGAAAGCGTTTATTTGTTAACCGACGAAAATGTTGCAGACTGGTACCGAATTGCATAATGAAGGCAAAGAGCGAACGTCGCAGGCCCTTCATAGGAAATCAAATTGAAGAATGCAGAGACGCCTCGGGACTATTTTATATCTTGCCCTTTCAAAAAGGTTACCTGGTGAACTGGGACATTCAGAAAACTGTGTGGGACTATATAGTCTCGAAGGAATCTTGCTCGGTTAACCTGAGCCAGCTGTCTGTAATAGTGACCGAGCCTATATTTAACTTTTCAAGTATTCAGGAAGCCATGACGGAGATCTTCTTCGAGGAGTACGAGTGTCACAGTCTCCTGAGAATAAACACGGCGAGCCTCTCGTGTTACAATTACAGAGCGGAGTATCCGGCTACGAAATGCTGTATAGTAGTGGACAGCGGTTACAGTTTTACGCACATCATTCCTTATATTAATGACACGAAGATAAAGGAGGGCATTCGAAGAATAGACGTGGGTGGTAAACTTTTAACAAATCACCTGAAGGAGATAATATCTTATCGTCAGCTGCATGTTATGGACGAGACGTATGTGATTAATCAAGTGAAGGAGGACTGCTGTTTCGTATCTCAAGATTTCTTCAAGGACATGGAACAAGCCAAGTGTAAATTGGAGAAGAACACTATTGTTAAAGATTACGTTTTGCCAGATTATACGACCCTGAGACGCGGATACCTCAAGGACCCGGAGCCGTCGAACGAGCAGCAGATCTTGCGTTTAACTAATGAGAGATTTGCGATACCGGAGATATTATTTCATCCATCCGACGTCGGCATTCGACAAATGGGCATTCCGGAAGCTATTATGGACTCCATAAAGGCTTGCAGCGAGGAAATGTGGCCCCATTTTCTATCCAACATTATTCTCACCGGTGGTAACGCAAAGTTTCCCGGATTTAAAGATAGAGTCTATAAAGAAGTTAGAAGTTTAGCTCCAGCCGAATATCCTGTGAACGTCTACCTACCACAAGAGTATTGTATATTTATATATATATATTTTGTTTACTTATTCGATGAAAAACCTAATAAGATCCTTCCAACTTCTAGTCCAATTACTTATGCATGGTGCGGCGGGAAGCAACTTTCACAAGATGCAATCTTTTCCAATCTTTTGGTGACGAGAGAAGAGTATGAAGAAGAGGGACCATCTCTATGTTTCGAAAAATTTGACGTATAATATCTTCCTCCTTCATATCAGATTATATCTTAATAAAAAAAAAAAGAGGTAATAGAAAAGTCTTTATATTAATACTCGAAATCGATATCTAAAAATATAAATATTTCGAAAAGATTGTTTTAGCCCCGATATCAAATTATGGAAATTAAACAGTACCGTCCTATCGCCCACAATTAATCTTTTTATGAATCAACTTAAATTGGTTACATAAAGTATTGCGCTACGTTATTGAAAAATTATATAAATAAAATAGAATACTTACAGTACATACGATTATGTAAATATAAAAGATAGATTTTTTTTAAATGTGTTAATCTATGTTACATTGTCCTCGGATGGAATGTGTTAATCTACATTAAATTATCTTCAAATAGACTTCATCTCTGCCATTAATTCGTCTAAGCTTATTCCTGTAGACTCGGGAACAGTTTGTTCCTCTTCCGAATTATTTTTATACGTGGGTACAGTATACGCATGTCGTACACCTGGAGTCGCTGATACATGCGATATTTCGTCTGGGTGATCACTACGTTCATCAACCAAGGAGATTCCTGGCGAGAAAAATTCGTTGTACGAATATGATATTTCAAATAGAGATTGTAACTGTTTGCTTATATGTACCCCATTCGTTATCTTCGTGTACAGGCTTCTCTTCAACAACAATTGGTTTCTGTTGGGTCTTTGGCAGTGCCGAATATTCTTTTTGCCTTTGCTTGCAGTGCGCGTCATCACAATTTGGATTTGGCCTCAAAGTCATAATTGGGAAAAAGTCTTCCATAGCATTGTAACCTAAGTAATGAGACACTTTTCCGAATTTTAATAAGAACTTCAAAGTATTCTGGACCAAGAAACCTGCTACAATACCCATTGTAGTAGGTAATGATGCAGCGCATACTCCTTCGCGTTTCAGAGTTTTCTCATCGATGCTGGACGCTACGATCAAAGGTGGAGCACACTGAAAATTTAAACATAGCAATAACATGATTACAGAATAAACTTGATAAAATAATCGAAATTTAAAAAAGACTAAAAACGATAGGATAATCAATTTATAACAGATGACTTGTTTTAAATGATATATGTATACATTTCTTTACTGAGCTAAACATTTTCTAACAAAAACTTTATTCTCTTTAAATATTCATATTCATATCTTAAAACAGCAATCACTTGAGACTAGGCTCACTACATGCAATTTGCAACTGTATGCTTTTCTTTTTAAAAGCGACTAATTGTATTTTCTTTGCGATTGATTCACACATACACATTTCATTATTCTGTACACAAAAGTAAAATAATTCAAACATGAAATATTTCATATTTTATATAAAAGTGGCAGAATATTAATTATTGATTTTTTGATAATTTTACTTTAATATTTTTATGCAAAATAACTTAAAAAAATTGAATTGTGCAAACAGTTTTTTAAACGACAACGATGTTAATGTTATAAAGTATAGCATGAAGCATTTGTTGCTCGCATCTTAAAACTATAAAGCTTAAATATTTTTGTCCGATACGTCTAGTTCCAGGGGAAAACCATTGTATTACAAAATACACTATTCGACTACATATAAATTGAATTGAAATCTTACTGCAAAACAGGCTGTTTCGCCAGGCACAATAAATTGAATGTGGCCGGACACTGCATTTTCAGACACGCCACTCTCGAACCACTTCTGATTAAGTTCGTTACACGCAGTGTTAATTGCCATGCGAGCTTCGAAATTGTCGACACAACTCAGCACCAAGTCGACTGGACCGTTTTTCAAACTGGAATTACTGCCAAAAAAATATATGAATTTAAATTGACTGGAAAACACATGTCAACGTTTAAAAAGGTATTCACAGAAATGTGTAGACGCGAAACGGACTAATTCATATTGAAGAGACATTTTTTAACTTATATATTTTAACTTATATACCTTATCGTATTCATAAAATCTTGGAAGTGATCGATAGTCGTGATATTGTAATTGCGTATTTCAATTGCCACGTCAGGATTTATGCCGCGCAAAGTGTTCGCCGCTGCCTCGACTTTACTCTGACCTGCTTGATGAGGTTGAAAAAATAACCTGTTCATATTTGCAAGCTCTACGCTATCATAATCAAACAGTATCAACTGAAACATTTAGTAAAATATAAGGCACAGCGATTTTCATTAACGTACGGTATACGTCGATGTACCATACCTTTCCAATGCCGCATCTTGTCAGCATTTCTGCCGTTACACTACCGACGCCACCAATTCCAACAATAGCTATCGTGAATTCTCGTATCTTTTCATAATTTTCAACGATACCCATACGCTTCAGTGCCATCAATCGGCTGAAAAAGATTACGAAGTAAGCAAAATTTGTAAGTCGACAAGACTTGGAAAATCTGCCCAAGCCTTTTGCATGTACCGAAGTGATGTGAGTGATCCGAAAACGTCAAGGATCATTTTTTAAATCTACCTGTACGGATTCGAATCCACCACTTCATCTGACATATGTTCGATCCTTCCCCTCGTTTCCGTCGCATGACTGTCTTTATCTTCTTTTCCTCGCAATTTGTTTTCAAGTTCTAAGACTTTTAGCCGTAGGCTTTCTATTTCGTTCATATTTCAATTTAGAAAAACCAAATTTAGATTTAGAGACAAATTCTGCAGAAAAGATCACTGCTACTGAGAGTTTCACCACACGAGCACCCAAGGATGCAAGGATGAAGTATACACATACAAGGGGCACGAACTCACCCTATCTACACGTATCTATAAAGGCCTGTGTCCACGATGCTGGAACTCATGGTGTAAAGATACAAGGTGAAGCAATCTGGCGGGTGCGCGGTGTCAACCAATCAAAAGTGGCCCAAACTACCGAATTGACCAATTAGAAATTTGCCCCGACCGTCCAACTGCAAATCATTGCGGTTGAACGCAGGAAGAGCCAATCAACAATTTGCCCGAAAAATTGGTCACATGCGCAATGTTTCACCTTGTATCTTTACACCATGCTGGAACTTAAAGTCCAAGCTACAGGCAATAGGAGCAGAGAATAGAATTTCTGACGCGTTGGATTGGTTGGAAGAAAATTTCCGACGAATCCAACGCGTCAAAAATTCTATTCCCTAATTCCTATTGCCTGTTGTCTGGCATTGTGTGATAGGCTTTATTCTTAGCATGAAAAATGGCGGTAAAGTGAGCAACCTGATTGGTTGAAGTTTGCGGGCAGGGTATTTAAAAATTCAACGTAATTAATCTTTAAAACTCAACATACAAACAATAAAAATAATTGTTGTAACTGATATCTCTCTTGCAATCCCATACAATTTCGGCTCGAAATATTCCTCGACACGCTGAATAGTCTGCAAGCTATTTGAAATTATCGAAATTTTGTGTATTATCTTGTGCGTACACAGTGCGGTGCATTAATTCGCTTCGGGTCGTAGCGTGAAAAGGCATCTATGTATTTAAATAATCAAGTAAATTTTGCCCATCCCTAATTAACGCACCGTGTACTACACATACGTGTAAACTTGCAACAATATGGAGTTCTTCTCTATTACAAAAGCGCATTAATCCTTCATAATTAGTTTAGCCTCCAAAATGCATGAATCCTTTACAATTAATCTATTCTTTAAATAAATGAATTATAAATAAAGTAACGTGCTATTGCGAATGTAATTATTAGAAAGTGAAGGGATTAACACTCGTTAGAAACGAAGTTGTATTTGTTTCAATCTTTAATTTTATATTGCAACGTTATTTTACTTCTGCAATTTCTCTCTATTCATAGCAGGCAGTATTATATAACATTATCGTTATATCATGCGTATGGACAAGTATTTAATATTTCCACAGGAAAAACGGTTTAGATATTTCAATACTAGTTTATAAGCTACAACTTTGACGTAGATATCGCAAAAATATTAAACGTGCTGCCTCATGCAGTACTATTTTAAATCAATGCATTTCTGCGCACCTCAGCAAATTTTATTGTCGTACCTTAGCCATGCCTGTGTCGTAGCACGCACGAGATAGTATATATTCGTGTAGAAAACTGTGTGACCGTATCTTCACGTTGTCAACGTCGTAATAACGCAGAATATACTAAAGATATTTATTTGCAAACAAACAGAATAAGAAGTAACAGAATACTTATTTGTTAGTGTTATTAATTCTATCTATATATATAATTATGTAGGAAAGGTGAAGAATAAAGCCTAGGAAAAGAGAAATAGAAAGGGAGCCGCGTAGGAGAGAAAAGGAAAAGGCATAAGATAGAAAATGAAAGTGAAAAAGAAATAGGAAGAAAGGACAAAAGTAAAATAAGAATAAAAAGCGAGAGAAAGGAAAAGAGCAGGGAGAAATGCAAAAATAGAGAGCAAAAAGTGACAGACAAAATAATAATATATGTAGCAAGAGAAAAGAATGAAGAAACAAACGCAGAAGAGAGAAAGAAACAGCAGAGAAATAAAAAAGAAAGCGTAGATGAGATGAGGAGGGAAGAAAAGATGAAATGAGTTAGAAGGAATAAAGAGGAAGAGTGGGATGAAAAACGAAGAGTTTCAAAAGGAGATGAGAGAATGGAGAGGGGAACAGATAGGGAGGGATTTGTTCAAAACATCAGCCTTTAGAGCATGGTTGGAAGGGTAAAATATTTTAAACGCACTTATGCATCGTGTCTCTTCCGAAACAAGTCGCATAATTATGATGCAAATAAAAGATGTCATAGCCAAAACTTAGCGCAATGTATTATTTCTATTAGCGACAATTAATTATATTCGTTCCCAAGTTAATTTGCTTACTTATTATATTTATAAGTATTATTTCATATTCCTTTTCCATTATACTAAAGTTACGTTCCAAAACCTTCTTCTCCCGGGACAATTTTACTCGACGGCCATCCCGAAACCTCCTCGAGCATTTCCAATTGGTTCCTACTCATCTCCCGAGCGAAATTTCCCTTAGAGAAAATGTTTTAGAACGTAACCCGAAAACTAGTCTATTATAAATTCTCTCTTAACGTATGAACAAGTGGTATAAAACTTGAATAAACGAGTATACATATGTACCGTTTTTGCCACGAAAAAGAAATTTTCAATTAAACATTTTCTGTCACGCATACAATTGTAATAATATTTAATAGCGTAATGTGGCAGAAAATTTAATAAATAAAAAATATTCACATAACTATTCATAGGTAAACAATCATGTTCCTTTTAAATATTTTATGTATACTGTTACGTATATTACATTCTTGTATATTATTACATTTTCTAAGTGTAAAAATCTATACACGTATATGTTGTGTGTTGTGTGTATGGTATGTGTGTCTGTATGTGTGTGTGTATATGTGTAGATAATCATAGGATTAGGCAAAAACGGCACACAGTCAGATTGAGAAGTAAATATTACTATTTAATTTAACTAATAAGAGCGTTCACGCGCTCACTAATTTTTCATCGTTCCGCTTAATACCAATATGCATTGCATTAATACACGAAAATACAAATGATGTTCGAGTGAATTTTCCTTAATGCATATTCACATAGGAACTGACAGATCCTTGGAAAATTATATAAAAAGATACAGTGTATAAGAGAATGGAGCATATTGTATTCCTATACATTCTTTACAAGTATGTCTCATCTTGATGTACAAATCCTCTCGAATGTACATTATGTGAATCGACCTTACATATTTATATAGAATAATTCACGTGTTCAATGCATAACAAAGATACTGGCAATTGCGTATAACCACGGAAAGTAAATCTTTTTATGGTGTAAGTTATTGGCGTAAGATTGATCAGCGCACAGAGATCGAGTTTACAAATATACATACATATTTTGTTTTAAACTAGCATGTTGTTTCGTGTGTGTATGTATATATATATAAATAATTTTTATTTTATTATATATATATATATATATCAATGTTTGCAGGTTTTGTGCCAAGTGTTGATTTAAAGTGCTTGTGAATTTACATGCGGTAACTAATGAAATTTACCGCGCAACCTGCTTCTATTCATATCAATTCCCTTCTAATAGAAATCGAAGCATGTATCGTATAAAACTACAACAAAAATATGTGTGTGAAATTTATCTTATGTCGCACCTCTAGATTAATTTGTTTGCATTTTTATCGAATAATAGCGGCGGAAGTATCGCTGGTTACGCAGAGCAGGTATTCACAGAGCACAAAGAGTGTATACTTGGCTATAACAAACATTTTTATTCAACTATTGTTGCATCAGATATAAACGAACATTTTTATTATTGTTAAAAGTACTAAACTGAATGATGTAAGGTATGTGTATAAATGTGACTGTATATATGTTTGTTGCGTGTCGTTGTGTACGAGTATCATGTGTGTGAGTGCGAACAAGGGTGATTGTTCAAAGTCTTCGCCACCGCGCGCATCATGTGTAACCTCGAGTAATCAACTTTCAAGTGAAAATGAAGAATCTAGCTGCATCTCTATGCATTTACAGATCTGCCAAAAACAAGATAAGAATAGTAACATCGGAAAAATTAGTGAAGATAGGAGAGCGCATTGCAGATCATAATGCGCTATCTTCGACATCACATGCACATCGGCGTCCAATATGGACGGAGCCTGTATCTTCACGTGACAAATTTTACGCCAGAATCCTAATATCCCGTGATTCTCTAAGTACATTGTAAATTTTGAATAATTGTACGTTTTTAAAGGAAATACAGTAAAATGAGATATTTCAGTCTTTATGATGAAATTGATGAAGCCGTTGCTACAAACCAGAATAATTTTCGTGCAGAGAAGAATATACTTGGCGATACGAAATATCTGCTGTTGTATCATTATATTCTGTGGTGGATTGGGACTCGGTTGACAATTGCTATTCAGAATTGCTGAATTTATAAGAGTTGAGGCATTTCTTCTGAAAGGGTCAAACACCCACTTCCAATTTCTTCCATGCTTTCCAATCCGTTTGTCCCATGAACCGGTACGCTGCTCATTGTTACGCCACGAAGATCTGTAATAATCTGCTAGTTAAAAAGTCTCTTTGACACAGGACCTTTAACTATATCAACATGTTGCACGATTTACGCACGAATATATCCGATGTCTATTATCTTGCTTAATTTCAAAGCAAATTGGAGTAAATCATGCGTTTTAAAAAGTATCCGCTTATGTAGTATTGATATTATATGTATAATATACTTTCTATTTCAACAGCATTTTCTGATTAGCTTAATACTTTTAAACAATAGCTATACATGATAAACGGGAGTTTGAAGCGACTTACAATACAGAATGCGCTAAAATTATACAATTGTTTTTTAAATATTATCACTGTGTACTTCTATATATGTGCATACACGGTATATACATTTGTATATACCGACCAAAAATTTGAACGCAGCAGAATACAAGAAATTTTCATTAATTGGAAATAAATGGTTATGACATTGTTTCTTCGAAAACAATCACTTATTAAAACTCACAATATATCCCGATATTCATATCAATAAAAAATCACATAACTTTTACTTTTTACAGTCTGCTTTAGCCTATAAAGCTAAATCCTGTTTTCATCTACGTAGCCTTCACAGCTATGCAAATTTTTAGTATTCTATTAAGAAGTTTCAAGAATTTTACCCGAAATACAATATTTTTTTAAATCGTTTACAATGTCCTGAAAAACTTTATTTTATTTTGGGGATTAACTTCTTTTATACGTTGGTCCGGTTTGTCATTTATTATATCAATTAACATATGAAATTAGTTAATGTAGCAAATAAGCAGTATATATGTATGTATAATCAATATTTTCTATTTGTAATGTATTTACAACTTACACTTTTTTATCTTACTTAAATACAGATTATATTCCAATGTAAAGTGCAAACCACATTTGCGACTACATCCCAGCGTATAGTTTCAGGCATAAAAATTTATATATGCTAATGTATTCGTTTCGTTTTGCTTGTTATATTATTTATTATTATTATATTAACCATAATGATAGATATAAAATATTGAGCATAACAATTTTAGAAAAAAAAGATACATATTTAAAAACGTATATCTCGAAGAAATAAGAAAAACATATTTTACAATATTAAACTTGTCAATATATAAGTTAATTATGTTATATCAATTAATATAGAGTTAGAGGTAGGTTAAGGTGGTGACATTACCTGGGCCGCTACTCACCTACAGGCACTGAGCCTGCCATGGGAGTAGGTGATGATGACACCATGCTCAAACGACCCTGTTCTTTTACTATGGGATCTAAAATAGAAGAAAATATAATTAGACAAGTACACACGCTTCCACATACATAGAGGATATACTCGGTGCAATGTCACGCTGAACGAGATATAAATGCGGTGCGTATAAATGTATATATTATATTTTAATATAATTTCCTTTTACTTTTTTCAATTTTTAAATACGTTGCAAGATAATAAATATAAATTCAAACAAATATTCTAAAGAATATTTGAAGAAAGATGCATTACATCGGTGCATGCTTACAAAAATAAGGATGTTCCATTGCCTCGCGCGCAGTTAGTCTCTCGTAATGATCATAGCGTAAGAGTTTGTCAAGAAAATCCAAACTATCCGGGGACACTAGATGTTGATTCTCCGAATGTACAAAGCGCTCCCAACGCTTACGCGAATGTCGGCCTAAAATGTCATTGAAGCGAGGATCTAGCTCAATATGATATTTGTCAAGATACTCAAACAGTTCTTCAGTTCCCAGAACTTTTGCGATTCGAACTAGCTGGTCGTAGTTATCATGTCCGTGAAAAAACGGTTCTTTCCTGAATATCATACTAGCGAGCATACAACCCAAAGACCACATATCTAATGAATAATCGTACATCTGCAAAACATTTACATTTTATAATATATCACACATACGTATGTACCTTTTAATGATAGATTTTCGTTGAAATAATTCGTATCATTATTTTTCCACTACTTCCTCTTTCTCTTCATTTCCCCAATTTCTTTGCCTTTCTTTGTTCCATTACATTTTGATGTTGCAAAATACCTACTTGATAATCTACGAGTAATTCCGGGCCTTTAAAATAGCGGGAAGCTACTCGTACATTGTATTCTTGACCAGGGTGGTAAAACTCAGCTAGTCCCCAGTCGATCAATCGTAATTTTCGATTTTCATGATCTATCATAACATTGTGCGGTTTCACATCTCTATGCATAATTCCCATACTATGACAATAGTCTAGTGCCTATGTGGGAACAAAACGGAAATAATTATTAAACATTACAATATTCTCGTCTCTGTCTGATGAGATGGTGTATCAGTCAATCCACTTCAATAATCGCACAACCAATATTCATACGTCCAAAAGTTAAAAAAATATTGAAATGTTACAACTTATTGATGCACTCTTAAGCCTTGTGTCCACGATCCAAGAACTGTGTCCAAGTTCTAGCTCCGAGAAATATGTAGCCAATCAACCTGCATCTTGTACGGAAAAGCTGCAAGTTGATTGGCTATACATTTCTCGAAACTAGAACTTGGACCAAGTTCCAGCATCGTGGACACAGGCCCATAGAAAAATCAAAGTTCTTTTATTTACAGGTTCCATCTTTACGTGAAATATATTTTGAAGGCTCTTCTAAATTGTAATAAAAATGGATAAGATAGACGTAAGACCATTAGACACTTATGTAAATGTCAATTCAAATATAAATTAATTCGAGATTCTGAGATATTGAAATTATTTTGTTACAAAAAGCATAGATTAATCCAAACTCTACGAACAAATAATCTCTTTTAAACATTACAGCTTTAAAGACGGAACACGTGTAACAACTTTTACTTTCAAGATTGAGACATCTTGCATAGATGCATAAACGCATAGATGCTTTAAGTGCTGTTGCATAAGGCAAAACTAAAGCAACAAGTCTTTGATATTAGTGAAAATAATAAAAGTATATCAATTCAATATATGCTAACTCGTTCTCGGACCCATGATATACACCCACAGCTATCAAAATAATAATCTCGACGTTCACTATCGACTGATATTTGGTTCACTTCATTGCACTTAACAATACACGCACTTTTAATAATTCGTAGAGGTAGTATCTTATGTCGTAATCAGTTAACGTCTGGTATAATTGCTTGAAATCTGTGTTGTTCACATGTTCGAAAATCAGTGCCGGTGTCCTTGAAACTGGATCTTTGACAACTGCTTGGAGTGTAATTATGTTGGTCCCACCTTTAAGGTTTTCTAAAATTTTTATTTCCCTTTTTATTTTCTTCTTTTTCACGGGCTACAACAAATAAAGTGGCATTAATAACAGTACCGTGAATCATGCTGCCTCAGCATTCCGCCGTTCTAGTCGATACTTATGATACGTAATGCAGTTGTCGTACCTTCAATATTTTTACAACACAATTCTCATTGTTTGTAACATTTATGGCCTCGAATACTTCGCTATATTTACCCCTACCCAATTTCCTCACTAGCTGGTAATCATCTTGTTGCCTACGTCAAGAAATATACATAGAAGGGTGAGTGAAAGATAACATATCACAACGGCGGGCAGTATCATTGTCACGATCATTCTTACCCCCAATCGACAACGTAAGATTCATAATCCCAGTACTCTCTTGGTTTATGTGAATTTACATCGGCGTAGACACGTGCTCTACTTGGTAAAGCCATTCTCTCAGAAGTATTATTATCGATAAGCGTCTTGTTGATCGGTATATTATCTCGACTGTCTATTCCAATCTTACAGCTATTAGAGACTTTAAATCCCTTGCCTATCCAACTATGTGCATGTGAGAACAGTAATAAACCTAGGCAATTCATACAATCCCATTGAGTATTTTGTACCAGCAGAAAATATCAGGAATAATTCTAACATGAAATTAACTGAGTAGCTAGAGTAGACTACCCAACAGTAGTTGGCTTAGTGGTTATCATCAATTTTATATACATATATATCATGATTTATACATATATATATATATATATAAAATCGTGAGAAATGATATACGTACATACATACATATATATATATAAATATAAAGTACAAGATTCTAAAAAATGTACACCCTTATTTTAAAGATATATTAGAAACGCACACGCAATACATTCGAAAGATACGAAGAAGATCCAAAATCTTTAGGCACAGATGCAGATTTGCTGCGATGAAAAGGCTATACGTTAAAAGCGCGAGCCTATTGTAAACTCACAAAAGGGGGCAGAGGCGCGACAAGAAATACGCGGGCGGGAATGCAAATCTGAATTTTTTTTTTTTGGAATGCAATCAAGAGAGAGAGCACGTTATCTCGACACATTATTTCGTATATCGATTGTAACGCCAGGATTCCGGACGTGTCCAGAGGTGTACTTGGAGTTTCGGCGGGGGGGCAGGCGAGTCACACGCGTCAAAATGGAATTTCTCCCGCGGGCGCGACCGGTCGAGCCGCGTGAATCGCGGGAGGGACGAACTACCGGCCGACGGGGCAACATCGCGCAAAAGTATGCAAGAGGCACGGGGGCACGTATACACATGTACCCAGTAAATCACACGCCATCGCGGTCAGCGGAATTGATGTAGGCTAATTTCGTACTCACCTAAAGCATTCCGAGCCCGAATCTTGATCGGATTAAACACGACAGATTCCCGGATTCGTTGCGAGTGCACGTAACTCACTCGCGGAGTTGCTAAGGCTGCGCGAACGCGTGAAACTCCAGATTTTTTAGGGCGGCCGGCTTCTCAAACGAGCGAGGTGCAAGATGGCAGCCGGCAACCCGCCGCGAACTTGAAAAATCTAGACCGGAAACCCTCCGGTGCCATGGGCGCGTTTCGCGCTGCCGCTATTAGGGCGTCTTTCCACGCAGCCACGTTCGTGGACCTACAATGGTCCGGTTTACATGAGGGAACGACGCGTGGCTCAGGGGCCCGATTCTCGAAATCATTCCAAGAAGAAACGTATACGAATATTCTGCTCTGACAGAAAAGTTGAAAGTCGATTGATTAAAGCCATGCGAATAGCCAATCAACTTGCAACTTTTCTGTAAGAGCAGAATTTTCGCATGCGTTTCTCCTTCGAACAAATTCAAGAATCGAGCCCCTGTGCTAACGCGACTGATTAGAGTAATAGCACAGTAATATAACTAGTACTCCCACTCTCCGTCGGCCCTTTGATCTTTTCGGTTTCGATCGTGTGGTATTCCGCCATTACTTTGGTGTGTGAAATCCTTTCACACATCTCATTGGCCACACCAAGATAATGGCGGATGCGCAAACAGGATCGGCGCAAAACAAAACAAATGAGGGCCATCGTACACAAAATTGCATAGCTGCATGCGCACAGCATGAAAACTGTTTAAGCCAATCAACATCGAACATTTATAGCGTTTTCGATTTTCTGACTCGGAGTCGGGTCGAGTCAGCAAATCGAAAACGCTATAAGTCGTCATATTGATTTACATAACATGCTCATTGGTCCAGATAGTCTTATGCTATGCACATGCAGCTATGCAATTTTGTGTGCAATGGCCCATAGACCCTTAAGCGGGGAGCACACACTTTTGCATAAATGCATAAGCATATGCATAACGAATTTGATTGGTCCATTTCCTTGTGCATTTGCTTATAGACCAATCAAATTCGTTATGCATATGCTTGTGCACTTATGCAAAAGTGTGTGCTCCCCGCTTTAGGGCCATCTCACACAAAATTGCATAGCTGCATGTGCATGTAGTATAATCATAGAATAACTAGTAGATCCACCCCTCCATTCGTTTCATTTTGCGTCGGTCCCTTCTGCGCACCCGACATTGTTCTGAATAGACCAATGAGAGAAAAGTTGATGTGTAATTTCAAAATGGCTGCTTACCTTCTCGACAGCCATTGGTCATTTCTCTTAAAATACTTAAGACATTAGTATCTATATTCGTATTCAGTATTTCTAAATCTCTAAAAAAATTTTGAAAATTCGGTAAAAATATGTTAATTAAAAGTATCATTTAATGCGCATACAATCATTGAATTTGTATCATTTTCGCTTTTTAGTTCAATAACTGGTACAACTAGTATTGTTTTCCCAATTGCTGAGACAAAAGTTTTGTATAAACATATTAGTTTTTTATTTTGTTAGTAATTACATTATTTATTAAGAATAGAAATATAAAACTACTTTCTTATTAGGTAATTAGGTCAATTATTGGAGGACATTTTTATATCACCTCTACTGGTTTTCTTTTTATCAGTTCATTCATACATTATAGTTTTCAAGTGACTTATTATTCGTATAACAAATGATAAAATTTTCAAATTTGCACGCAGCGTTAGCAATATAATCTATTAAATATTCGAACATTGGAATACGTATTTAAAAATTAATCACATAAACGTAGTATAAAGAATTGAGCATAAAGAACCAGAGTATGTGGGTCACATTTATTAATGAATGAGAATATGAATATAATTATTAGAATGTTGAACGCTAGCTAAGTTATAACTATATAGAGCATAAATAGTTTAAATGTATAGATGTATAGATAAATCATAGTCGATAAATTTGTCTTTAGTGAATTAAATATTTTGCACTTATAATATTTATTGCATATGCTGACGTCTACGGGCAGCCCGCTGTTTGTCAAAACGTAATTCCATTTCTTCGAGCACACGTGGAGTATAACGAACTACTAACTTGACGGAATTTTGTGCCTGCTTCAATAATTCAACCGCCTTTTCGTGATTCTCACCTTCGACGCACTAAAACGAAATTATCTCATCATTATAAAATACTTATCTTCGACAAATAAAAGCGGCAGGAACGTCTACTAACCACTCCGTTAACGGACAAAAGTTGATCCCCACGTTTTAAGCCACCGTGTCTGTCGGCGACACCGCCAGGGATAATGCGAGATATATAAATCGGCGAGTTCTGTTCTTTACCCCCCATTACATTGAAGCCAAGTCCTTCCTCAGTTTTCGGTAATTCGACCACGCGTGGATGCGCGTGACCCTCGCTAGCCGCAAATGCGGCGACGGTCGCTTTCGCTGTCGCAGACGCCCGTACGTCCTGTGAACCCTGAAACAAATAGTCATTACTGATTGTAATTACGACTACGAATAAAGAGAATCTATCAGGCCCGGTCTACAATGAGTTGTTAGTCGTTAGTCAAAGTCAGAACTGCACGTCGATCCTCTTTCTTCCTGTGGGTGGAAGAAAAAGGACCGACATAGAGTTCCGACTTCTGACTAACAACTCATTGTAAACCGGGCCTTAAATTGAAACATTGGTCATTTGTCGCTCGTATTCTAACCTGAATATCAACAGTCTCGTATACATGCTCGTATACCTCCCGTACCGCGCTGAGAAAATCGCTTTGTAATACTTTTTGTAACGCTGCCAATTTTGTTGTGGGAACCTCTCCTCCTAAAAAAACAATTATTTCACAAGATTTAACGATCTGGCCAATGTTTTTACAAACAATTATTGTCAAAATATACGAAATGCTTTGTTCCACAACTGCCTACCTTTTTGCAGTTTATCTAACAATTCTATAGACCTCTTGACATCTGCAAGGAAAAAGGGTGAAATTTTATGCAACTTATTGGAACAGGCGCTAAAATAATCGTCGTTCGACATTTACATAATGAAATAATACATTTGTATAATCGAAACTTGATTAGTAAAAATTTACCTCTTGCTAGAGTAAGAGGCTCGCCCATGGTAGCCATATTTTTATGTTACAATTTATGATTTTCCTCCTCTTCTATGTGCATGCGCTGGCAAACATCGACAAATATGCAATTCAACGCAATATATTAACTCGCCACCGTAATACTGCGTTCAAGTAATGCCGAGTACTCTCAATAGTAAATAGGTCAGTGCTCAGTTCCACTCGCTCAAATCGATGAGATTAAAGTCAACAGCACACGACCATGGACAGACATAGGAAAGTAGGGACGGGCATGCACGCACTAGCTCCACAGATGACTATACTAAACTAGACTGCTATCTCGGACTCCGGACTTGCGTCGCATGAGGTTTCCGGCTGTACTAAAGAAAATGGCGGTAATCCGGGTACTTTTATGCGGTTCAAACTCAATTTCGCATTTTACCTTTGAAACGGCATAACATTTTCATCCACTTGGTGGACACCTCTCGATTTCTTATCCATTTTTACTTTAAATCCTGAAAATTTTCCGTTCGTACGAAATCATTTCAATTACACTCCGTTTCTATATATTAATAGAAATTTATTTTACATCTATTTTAATCTATGATATTTCAAGATTTTATTCTTTTCCATAGTTAATGATGGATAAAATATCAAGTTAAAGTTTATCACAACTTCATTGCAAGGAAAGAACAAATATAGATAACCTGATAACTCGGCATTGCTCATAATCTTTAAACGTTCTTTACGCTAAATATAAGTATACTTCAAAAACGATAAATGGAAATGTGTGCAGTAAAATAAACAGTTCAGATTATGTTCTTAAAATAGCCTTTTAAAATACTTGATGATTTTTGAAGTGCTTATCTCAAAAATAATAATAAAATCTAACAAAATTATTGTATATATTATATACAAAAACAAGTTATTGTTGTAAAATTAAATAAATATTTATAAAAAATTGGATTACATTCATGTATAAAGATATGTTGCATTCTTATAAATTAATGTAGTAATGTCTCAAAAATTTATTTATTAAAAACTAGTTCTTTATTTGTTAAAAAATAATTCAACATAATTATGATATATTTAAAAAATTTGTATGTGTTTGAAAAAAAATTAGAATGCCTCAATGTAGTATTGAATAACACATAAATTACATCAGACTAATACATATGTGCGCGAGATGATAACCGATTATCACACATTGACGTATGGAAAGTTTGAAGCACATATCAGATAAGTGAAGCACGTGAAGTAACAAATATTGCCATACGTTTTAGTATTAAATTATTTACTACAGATATTATTCAACAATTCTAATTCAATAGCTAATTAAAATGTAATATTTACTGTTTATTTGTGTAAACAGTAAATTATAAATTTATATAATAGATTTATATACGTATATAACTAAAATGTTATTTATATTTGAGTATCTTAAAAGAAGTTTTTGAGGTTTACCTATTTAATTACAAAAACCATCTGCGGTCAGACTGGATCTCGGTCTAATACTATATGCGTAAATTTTTATATACTGTTTCCAGATTCCAACTGTGCGCCGATTATTTGTCGGTTTTTTAAGTTTAATCGTGATTAATGCGTGCAACTTTATGCAATTTTATGAATTCTGTGTTATGTCTTATATCGATACAGCTATTCATTTCATGACACTTTAATCTTATTGCTTTCCTAACTAAGAATACAGCAGTTAAAAGGAATCGATAGCACTACATTTATGTAAAGCTATCTATAAATAATTAATAAATATCTATAAATAAAGCTATAAGTAAAGCTGTAAATAAAATTTACGAAGCCGGTGATCACGCTAGGGCTTTATAGGACTTATAGAATTTTTATATACCTTTTTGCATAATATAAAACTATTTTTATTTGCAAATTATTTGTTTTAATTCTCACGATATATCGAGAGATGAAAGAAATTCCTTACTCAAATTTTTTTTATATTCTCCACGTTTAATTATACAAAATTGCAAATAAAAATAAATTTTTCGGAATTGATTTGGATTAATTTATGCTTATTTAAATTATTTAAAGATATATCAGTTATATATAAAATCATATATTAATGTATAGAATATACACGGTCGGTCTCGCACGCGTGTACTAGCTACGCTTACACTTGGCGCGAGACACATACCGTGTCTCGTGATATATTTGAATAAGATTTTCAGAAATATTTATACAAACAGGACGAGTTTTCCGGAATCTCTTATATCTCGCTTTTGTTTTAACGGAGTGTGATTTTACTTTCACAGAAATTGTATATTTGTATGTACAAGTAGAAAAATTATATCTGCTTAAAAATGCAAGTGTTAGCGGTAGAATTAAAGAGAACAAAATTAGCAAAAATGAAGGCAATTACAAAACTCCGATCCCGTAACTGATGTTGCAACTTTGTCTCGCCCAAAAGAATTTTTATCATTAACCTTCGATTAACTTTCGATCTGTCCGAAATAACAAGGGGTATCGCGTAGACAGTGGAATCTTGCACGGTGGTAGGTCAATGGGTCGCCACCGATAATGCTTTTGTTCGATACGATTTTGGTATAAAAGACTCGCATCGCTCGATGGACAGCATGCGGCAAACGGCATTAACAGCATCACAATGAGGTGCGCGATCGTTCTACTGGCTCTGGCAGCTTTTGGGGCGGCTCTACCCCAACAGCAGCAACAGCAGCTGAAACAACATGCTGGTAAGTAATTGCTATTCCTTCGGGTTACTATGTTCTTTCTAGCTCTATCTTGCTCTGTTTATATATCGCTCTCTATTTCTTAAAAAACCGAAGGTTGTATAACTTTTGCAAAAAAATTACCACCGCTTCTATCGTCCCTAATATTTTATACCATTTATATTTTACTAAGCGTTTTATACATGCAAATACCTAGTAGTTAATGTCGCGGAATATTAATATTATTGTGTCAATTCGTGGAACGCGACTAAAGTCAACCGCTTTTTTAATTCTCTTTTAGCTGACCAAGATCTTTTGAAGAAACAACAAGACGTAATACTATTGCTGCAACACATTACCCAAGAAATCCCGAATGAGCAGCTGCAGATCCTTGGTACCACCTATGACATCCAGAACAACTACCAGCAATATGAAAATCCGATCCTTGTCAAGTACTATGCGGGTGCTGTACAGGCCGGTCTGGTTCAGCCAAAGGGCACCGCCTATTCGAGTTCCGTCAGCCAGCTTCGCAAAGAAGTCTCCCTCCTGCACAGAGTCTTATTAGGCGCCAAGACCTACCAGACTTTCCTGGCAACCGCCGCATGGGCCCGCGTCCACGTTAACGAAGGACAGTTTATCAAGGCTTTCATTGGAGCCGTTCTTCAGCATCCTGAGACTCAGGGTCTCATTCTGCCGCCTTGGTACGAAATCATTCCTCAGCACTACTTTGATGCTAGAGTGATCCAGGAAGCCCAGAACGCTATTGCACAAGGTGTCAACTGGAACCAACTTGTAATCCCCGTCAACTATTCCGCCCAATTGTCCGGCAGTGAGCAACAACTCTCCTACTTCACGCAAGACGTCGGCCTCTCAAACTACTACGGCTACGTGAATCTCGCTGGATACCTGTCGGAAGTGAGTACATACTTCATTTAATACAAAGGTATAATTGCAAAACAATCTTTCATGTAGGAGAAAAATAGATTAGTTTCTTTCATTAAAAATCATGTTTTCTATATTAATATTCTTTAAATATAACATCAGCACGGACAGCAAGTGCCTCCGCCATACCAACAACAAGGTGTTCAGAATCAGGAGGGTCATATTGGCCACGGATCTATCTACTATTATCTCCACCAACAACTGCTGGCTCATTATGAACTGAACCGTCTCGCAAACGGACTGGGCCCAATCCATCACACCGATTACGTCAACGTACAAGCGCCGTATCAACCGCACCTCCGTCACACGAACGGACTCGAATTCCCTGGACGCCCTCACCATCTGCAGCTTAGCCCCTACAACCACCATCTTGTCCATACTGTCCAGAAGATCGAACAGAGATTGATCGAAGCTATTGACTCTGGCCATGTCATCACTCCGCAAGGCGCCTTCCTCTCTCTTTATCAGCCGCAAGGTTTGAATATTCTTGGAGAAATCATCGAAGGAACTGGCCGCAGTGTTAACCCAAGGTGAATTTTCAACTGTTCATTCGACTGATCAATGTTAGTCACTTACCAATGTCGCAATACTTACGATACATTTTCTATTGCAGATACTATGGCAGTCTTCAAGCCGCCGCGCGTCAACTTCTCGGTAATGCTCCTGAAGCGGAAAATATCTACGATTACACTCCTTCTGTTCTTGAGTTGGGACAAATCGCAGTTCAGGATCCAGCCTTCTATCAGCTCTACCAGAAAGTCATCCAGTTGTTCCAACATTACCAGAACTCGTTGCCCGCGTACCAGTACAACGACATCCACCTGCCTGGCGTTAGCATCCAGAACGTTGAAATCAGCCCGCTGGTGACTTTCTTCAACAATTACTACGTTGATCTCGACGCAGCTTCTCACCACGAAGCCGGCCAACAACAGCAAGGTCAACAACAGCAGCAGCAACAACAACAACAACAACACATTAAGGCGCAAGTGAAGAGATTGGACCACAAACCGTACGAGTACCAGATCACTGTCCAGAGCGAGCAGAACGTTCCCGGTGCCGTTGTCCGTGTCTACTTGGGACCGAAATACGACTACCATGGCAAACCCATCAGCATTTCTCACCACAGGCACCAATTCGTCGAACTCGACCAATTCATTACTGACCGTATGTACTCGATTGTTAAATTACCCATTGATATACATATGAGATATACAAATCTTTATATACACGCCCTGGTTGTTTCATTAAATAAATTGGCAAATCTTTCTGTTTTACAGTTCAGCAAGGACAGAATATCATCACTAGGCAATCTCAACAGGCACCAACCCAGAGCCACGACTACCCGTCTGTTCAAGATATTAAGCAGGGAATCAACAACGCCGTCCATGCCCAAGAACCGTACTACATCACCGAGGTAATTATTTTTCTCTCTTCCTGTCTTATATGTCAGCGACAATTATCAATGAATAATGCAAAGTTAAACGTTAATATTTTTTTAGCCACACCAGATCTTCGGTTTCCCAGCTAGGCTGGCTCTGCCCAAGGGTCATCACGGTGAAGGTTTCCCAGTTCAGCTGTTTGTTGTGATCTCTCAACCGGGACAACAAAACGTGCCTTATGGACCAGTGGTCTCGGAGCAATATCAGACCTACCAACACGGCGAATATCAAGTAGTCGGCACCGAGGACTACCAGCAAATCCAGCATCAAGGTAGCAAAGTCGTTGGTGTAAAACAAACTGTGGAGGTTGTACCAGAGAATCTGCCGACCGGTCAGCAAGAGAATCAAGGTATGTCGATATCAGAGGGACGAGGCCGCTCGTCGTTCAATAAATGGCAGAAAAATAAGCAATTTCTTTTTTACAGCTGTAAGGAATCATTATGCTCACATCTATACTCAGCAACATGGACACTACCCGTACACGCACTCTCATTACCAAGTAGGCCAAGGACAGGTCTATGGAGAGGGACAAAATGTCTTTGGTGCGCAAGGTCAATACTATGAACAAGGACAACAAGGACAACATGGACAACATGGACAATATGCCCAAGGACATCAACAATGGGGTCAATGGGGTCAATCTCAGGGTATCTACCAAGGACAGCAGGGACAACAGTATCAACAACAGTACCAACATGGTCAACAAAGTACAGTAGGAGTCCAAGGTGGAGTACCACCAACTGGTGTACATGGCTCGCAGCAGGGTATCCATGGAGCCCAAGGAGTTCAATCAGGTGTACAAGGTGTCCAAGGTACGCAATATTCCGGAGTACAGGGAACTCAAGGCGTCCACAGCGGCATTCAGTCTGGAATCCAGGGCAAATACCACACTACCTATCAAGGACAAAGCCAACAGCAGCAAGGATATGGTGTAGGATATACCGGTAGCGGACAATATCACGCCGGTGGCTTCCAAGGTATCTTGGGTCAGGGACATCAAGGACAGGACGGATACGTCAGCAAATACTATCAGAATAAGCACATCTCTGAGATCATCGGTGGCGCTATCTCTCTCGACGGTAAACCCCTTGGTTACCCGTTGGACAGACCCTTGACCACTGGTGCTCTTTCCGTCCCTAATGTCTACGTTCACACCGTCCACATTCATCATGAAGGCCAACCTACCAACGAAGTGTACTATCAGTAAAATGTTCCTATAAATCAAATATAATATATGTATGGCACCGTTAGATAGAACGGTGCTTGAGCGAACACTATTTTTTCATTCAATGTAAAAAAAATGATTTATCAGTTTATTGTAGCAAATGCAATTAATAAATTGCCCTAAAAAAAAACGCAAATCTCCAGATATATTATATTTACTTATAACGTAAGGTTTCTCTTCCTATCCTCCTCTTTTCTTAAATATGCGCTTCCTCGTATGTCTTACCTATTGTAAGCACAAGTTAAGATTAACTATTGATAATAAAATTTATGGTCTTTTGCAGAATTATTATTTTATCAAGAAAGTTTATTGTCTTCTCGGCGATCTTCTTCGAGCGATGTGAATCCGCCGTCGTTTTCATGTACGACGATCATTCTCCAGTCATCATCTCCATAAATTCTATAAACAGGTTTAATTTTCATTAAGACAAACAGTAAATCAATCATTCATTTCAACAATAAGTTGTATATATGTATGTATAGTCAGAGTTAGGTAATAACTAATTAAAAGTTGAGTTAAAAAATTAATGCAAGTTAATTTCAAACGTAGATTTACTAGTAAAATGTACAGTAGAATATACACTAGCAGCAACTCCTCTATCTCACATTAGAAGAAGAAAAACACCACATAATAGGGGACTTTCCTCTACGTTCAAAATTAACTTGTATTAATTTTTTAACTTAACTTTTAATTTTACTAGACATACATATAGATACATATAATATATTAATACTCTGTATGTTGTATTGCAGGATATATTACATACCGTCAAAATCTACCGTACCGGAACCATCTGTGTCAATCTCTGCGATTATTCCATCAAGATCGGAACTAGTAAGTTTATCGTCGAGTGCCCCCAAAATCTCTTTCAACGTAGCCGTAGTAATGTATCCGTTACCCTCGCGGTCGTACAATCGAAACGCTTCCTTCAGTTCCTCCTGCATTGCCTCCGCGTCCTCCTCTTCGAGAAACCGACCCGCGATTTTGCAGAAACCGTCAAAATTCACTTTGCCGGAACCGTCGGAAACATGTTCCTCGATCAAGGCGTTCAATTCGGCATCGTCAAACAATTGTCCCATCGTATTTAATATCGTTGAGATTTTCAATGTCTCGATGAAGCCACATTTCGTTGTGTCGAACATTTGGAACGCCTTACGCATCACAGCCACTTTTTGATCGTCTTCCTCCTGCGAATGTCCAACGGAGAATCACGAATTGGTTGAGTTTACTTTTTACTTATGTATAAAAATACAGAAAGACGGTAAATGCTAGCAATTATTGATATCTAAATCCGTTTATGATCATCTTTTAATTATTTTTTATACCTACAGTGGTTTACGTATTACTGCTTTCTAAATAATGTGGAATTTATAGCTTTTTCCTACGAGTGTCGACTGTTCAATTTTCGGGGGTTTTCTTTTCGATAAACTATTTCTAAGATTATATCGCGAACTCTTACCATGATGGTTAACGTGGGACTTTTTACACCGTATTAGGCAAAACCACCAGTGGCGCACGACGGAGAACGGACGGCGGACTTGGAGAGAATTGGTTCTTCCGTCCCAGTATAAAGACTTCCTCTCCGCATCTGCTAAACCAGCTAGAAAGACGACGTACGCAAAAATAGAGCGGCGACGCCGACGAAAAATGAAATATGTTATAAGTGAATACCACAGCCTCACCGCGTTGTCGTTTACACGAAGGTCGTACAAATGCTGTTATATCGTGCGATATTGACAAGATTCGACGCAGCTAACAGATTTTGCGCGCCAAGGGGAAATTAGCAAGCTTCACGGTCACGATGATGTAAAGATGCGCCCTATACGTCGAGAATTTTCTCTAATCCTACGTGGCGTTTATTTAGGGATTAAATATTATAAGATTGAAGTTTGCGTCACCTTCCAATAACTGCATTGTAAAAGAAGTATGTAAAATTACATACATAATAAGTGTAGATTACACTATTTTACATGTAATTTTTTTACAGTGTATCCACCCATCGACACGGTTGATGCTTTTCTAGGTAGCACGAACATATGTTCATGGAGAATTCATTTTAAAGAATACATGCCGAATTAGAAAAATTAATATCTGAAAAATTCTTCAAGAATCAGGCACAATCAGTTCGTCTTAAAGTATTCCTCAGAAGTTCATTTACGGCGCATGTAACTTCCCCAGTCATTCTTATCTCCTAGAAATTCCCAAAGAATTACAATTAAGGAAGGGAGAGAGCTTGAATACTTTGCCAATTAACTGTGCTATCTGGATTAAAGTACCGGATTACTGTCAGACGAACGATACAAGAAATTAGCATGCATTATTGGTAGTGAATCCATGAATGAATTCGTACTTGCGTCCGCGTACATGCGGAGGCATGAAAAGAAAGAGGAAAGGAGAGAGAAACGTTATTATTATAACTGCAAAGCATTTACGTAACTATACAGCGATATTTTCATTATAGTTGCGCGATAAAAATAAGCGAATAGAAGAAATCCAAACGGTATATTCGAGGTAAAGACAGAAATGAAAGTTGGCTCTGCTCAACTCATTCCATCGTGTAATCGTCCGCCGGGTGGTATTCCAAGTTCGAAATGGGGCAACGTATTGCCGTTCTTAGGCCGCGCCGCCTACGCGTTCTGCGGTTGCAAACCGTTACAACGCGACTCTATCTAACATGCAACTAGAACGATGTAAAAATATATCGGGCCGCTCCTTCTCTCGCGCCCCCGGCCTCACGTGAACGATCCATCACCGTCGTTCGCGTATCTTCCAGGTGAGGGAGAAGCAGGAAATTCCTCCTACACTGGCTCCGCTGCTCGGAGACTATTACACCCGTGAACAAAATTTGACTCTTCTTTTTGGCACTAGTCTGCAAGCTTATTATCGTTTCTTGTAAAACTGTTCGCACCCAATTCAAATCCGTCTGTAGAATTCACCTAGCACGTTGGGATTCTGAAAGAAATTCTGTTATTAGATTAGTTAGATAACTACTCGGAGAGAAGTTCGTCTCAAAAGTTGTCCTGAAAATTATGGCATTTCGAGGACTTTTTTGCAATTTTAACATTTTACTAATAATTATACTTAGCATACATTTTGCTTGTAGAATGTATGGTAAAATTTCAAAAACTCTCAGGAAGGTCTTCAAAATGCCATCGTAAATGTAGCATGTCGGAATAGACAGAACTGAAAGCTATCAGAATTGCCATTTTTGCATATTTAACTGGGTTTTTCTCAAAGTCCTGACACGCTACAGAAATTCTGCAGAGGGATTTGAATTCTGCATGAAAAAAATCTACCAGAAATGCTAGCGTTCAGATCAGTACCAAAATTCTTATCTGACAAAGTTATCAGTTGGACGTTGCCGATGGAACATTCATTTGCCGTGGGGAACAAATTACTCAACGCTATGACAATATTATCGCGCGTGTGAGTCGTCTCCGCGCGTGACGCACGCTAAATAGTCTTATTAGAAATATTTTTGGTGTATCCACGCGTGGCCGACCAAGATAGACAAATCCGATGGCTATTGCACTATCGTGCCAAATTTTGCGGGGCAATTTCAACTCGCGCGCGTGGACCAAATTAACGGGATTTCTCAATCTCAACTTCACGCGCGGACATTTCCGAGAATTAAAACGTTTTATCTCTTACAAGAAACTCGGGAGAGAGTTGACCCACGTTTATAAAACGATTCAAAATATCTTTTCTATATAAGTTCACCGTTATCACGTTATACTCGAGCGGTGCAACCCAAGGGGAACAGGAAAGTCAAAATAATGTCAATTTGACGTCATACTCATGTTTCGGTCATGATTTAGTTAATATACATATATGACGTCAGGTTGACATTAAAGTATTTTGACTTTTCTATTCTCATCGGGAAGAAGTCATAATCAAGTCGAAATGACTAAAAGCACAGCCATCTTATGAAGTCATATTTAATATAATTGGCATGGCAAAGCTTTTATTTTGTGTCTGTTGAATATTTAAACGGAACAGCAGAAAATCAATGCCTCAAAAATAAAATATTTTTACAAATTTGTAAAATATAATAATATCTACGAGATCCTTATCATTTCGCACGCACGATCGATTTGCGTTCTCTCGGTAAGAGCCAAAATACACTAATAAAAAAGTCAAATTATGCTTCCGGTAAAAGAGTTAAATAGTATCAGCTTGACTTTCTGGAAATGATTACTTTTCGATGATCTTGAAGCTTTTAAATAACTTCTTGTTCTGCTTGGGTACGTGAAGTATATGTATAACAGCATAAAAAAAAACTATCATTTTTAAATGAAGTTCGATGAAACCTCTTAGATACCGTAACTCTTCCTTTCAGTTTCCCCTTCAAGTGTAAGCGAAACTGTAACATGAAAGAACGATATTATTATAACTGTTTGCTTGTCTCGGCGATATTTATTAGCTCTATTGAAGCCAAGTATATAAAACAGATTCTATATATTTCGCGTTTAACGTTGACTTGAATTGAATGATTCGAATTTTACGAGGCTCGTTTTCGTGCATTGGAATAAAACTTGTTGTCACATTGTAGCTATTAATCGTACGTCTTATATCACTCAGCAGATAAAACTGCTTCAGATGATATGCGTCTATATCAATATTGGTTGCTGCATCATTACTCGCAGTCAATCTGGAAAAATTGTTGTACTTGTAAAAATGTTGAAATATCCCAAATAGCATAGGTAAGTGTTGAGACAGAATTTTTTTAAAACATTTTTTTAAATTTGATAAAGAACTCAGAGTTGATAATATAAAAGTGAATTCTTAGAAATGTTTTTAAAACAGAACTGGGATAAAACAGAATTTATTTCATAATTCGAGAATTCAAAAAGAATTCTTAAATTTTCTATGCTATTTTGAGATTTTTCTTTCTCTCGCAATATGATTAGCTAAATGAATAAATACAATGATAAAGATACGTTATACACGTATCGTATAAAATTGCACAAATATCAAAAGACTTGGCAAAACTTCAGTTCTACGATCTAAATTTCTTCGTTGAAATTATAGAAGTAGAATTGTTATTACTCATCATTAATAAATTATAATCGAAACTGTAAGAGTTATTCGACAAACGGATGAAAAGCGTGACGTAACTTTACTGTAAGATCGCTATTGAATCGCGTAATAATAACAGACTATATTTGGACAGTATACAATTTTCAAAAATTATTGAAAATAATTAAGTACTAAATTCACATGCTCAGATAATAAATAATTTCTTTTCGTAATATTTTCTGCTGTAGAAAACATTCCTTCAGAGCCAGGAATAGCTGAATGGAAGAAACGGGAATAGCCTAAATAAATCCTAACTATAGCGCTGAGCAATTAGTTTCCCCGTTCTATCTCTCGCTCTATCTCTCGTAATAGATGGTTTAAAGCCAATTTAATAAACTCGGCCCTTCAAAGATTAAGATCCGAATTATGGTCTGAATAGCTCGTATCTCCAAATCTGAGTAATTAGGTAATTTGATGAATTAATCATCCGAACATCAAAATATTAGCAAATTGAAATCGTCTTTAGTTCTGGCAATAATACGACGTATAATATGCAATCAAAATGAAAACGACATGATCTTAGAATATAACAATGACTACACGAAACAATATAATATAAGAATATAACATCGATATCTTCAGCTTCGCTATTTTTGTAAGGGATCCTGGCAATTGCAATGCACTCAACGCTGAAAAACAGAAATTTTTTTCCAAAGAAATAAAACAATAAAAAGGTACAAACATCACTGTTATCTATGATAATAAATTATTTATTGTGCGATGAACTTGCTATATACTTGCATGTGAAAATCTCATATCATCTTTAAACTCCAAGCGAATGAGCTTCATAATTATACGAATAACGTGTCCACATGTACGAATGAGTTAGTAACGATGAACACCAATTGTACGAGTAACTTCGAAATGTGAAGATGCTAGAAACAGATGCTAAGAATAAATAGGCGCATGACAAGTAAGAGCCGCTTCTAAAATCATCTCAACTATATTCCACCCTGTTTCACAAATGCGACGATTTTCATGGAAAATGGTAGAATTTTTCCACCATATTTCACAAAATATACTCTTTACATCAAATAAATAGCTTCTCAGTGACAAATGTGACGATAACGATCACATTTATTTAGAGCGTGGACGAGCTTGTCAATGTAATTTATGACATTGATAAAGAATTCTTATATATATACTATATGACCACATTTTTCAGCAACATGATGACACTGTATGAATAATTACGATGAAGTTAGTAAGAAAAATTTTTATATTTTAAAAAGACAAGGTACATTTTCGGTAAATTCGTAGCAAAATCTTGCGGGAGAAAATAATTACCATAGATCACATATCAAAATATGATAGACAAAATGTCGTGATATACAATCCTGATATATAAATTGCAGTAAATATAAATTACAGTACGCAAGTCTTGAAACTGGAGCGACCATTCTGTTGGAAAATTGTACTTTGATGGTGTCGTTATCGGAATAGATCGTTCTCTTAAAACTTCTAGTTAGACGAAAAATCTCCGCCTAAATGATAAATCAAGATAACAAACAATTAATATATATTTGCACATTGCTAAATATTAATATTAGACGATCGTCATCAGTCGTTATTATTTATGAAAAGATCATACTTGCAATCATTTGCGTGTTTCTCCAATATTTAAATAGGCCGACCAAATATTATCTTTCCATACACAAGTCTTATACAAGTAAAAAAGTTGACTATACAAATTGTATTCATGGATGATTTATCGTGCGCCCTTTTTAACCTGTTTATTAAAAAGAGCACTCGGTAAATCCCTGATATTTGGCATACACTTCGGATCGTTTTTTAATCAACTATATTAATTGTGTCAGAAAGCTGTTCCTTCTCGCTAAAACTTAATTGTATCGTATAAAATGTATCAAATTGCTACAAGAAAATCACAAATTTCATTTTCTTACTGTGTAGAAATAAATATGTAAAGGAGATAAAAAGAGTGATACGATTTTCGCACGTTACTTACATATAGATTGCAATTTATATCTCGCTTTGATAAATTGGCGATACTTTCTGACACATGTAAATTACATATGAAAATTGCACTTAAATTTATATTCCGTTGTTAATTAATTTGCAAGCTGATAGCAAAATTGACGCTATCGTTATACATCATAAGGGTCATCTATTATCGAACAATTGTTACACGACAACCAATAGACAGCATAGACTTTTTTATACCACCTTGAGAATTGACATTTTTTTATATCAAGTACGTATGACCAGACAGTATGTGGAATCTCGAATGATAGTTGTCTGAAATATAGAACGTTGAATAGCCAAAGTTAGTTTCATATTTCTTACAATTCCTTCAGCGTTGATACCGTAAAAACTTCCACAAAGCATATGCAATACTGCATCAGATCGGTATACGGTATATTGTACCGATAGCAAAATTCCTCTACAAAGAAACGTTCAAAAGTATAGGAAGCGACTAAACTAATGACATTATAATTGTCGTTTTTCAAGCCGAGTATCGTTATCGCCAATATCTGCAGCACGACAGTGATATTGGTCAAAAAACGTAGCTTCCTGATTTGGCTTTCCTTGTGCTTCATCGCTAGTGGAAAGAATATCGGTACTGTACCAAGAAACAGTAATAGCATACGAATCTTTTCATCTATCTGATATGCACTTAATATACCAGACGTCAGTAGTGCCAAAGGAACGATTTCAATGACGTTGGAAAACCAATCGTAAAAACTTCGGAAGCATCTTGCTGAAGGTGTCGATGACGAAGTAAATGGGATTCCTAAAACATTGAAATAATAATTAGAAACTTATTCAATGAAAAAAACATATATACGCATGATACATTTAAGTGAGAACTTTACTTTAAGCAGATAAGACTTGAAAAGGATACAAGATTCAATGTTATAACTGTGCAATAGTTTATAAAAAATAAGGTATACGCAAATAAATGTAATTTGATCACATGACCATACTATAAATTATTAGATCGTTAATTGTTGGAACATGTAAGAAATAATATTACGCCAAAAAAAGAGAGTAAAATTACGATATAACGAAATAAGTGGTGCTCATCAAAACTCACATCAAGTACAAAGAAATTTTATATCATCGTGAACATGTGTGCTAAAACATTTCGATAAACATGCACGTGAGGACGAGAGCTTCCAAGGTGCTGAATCGTAAAATGTAGAATTTTCTAATGCATATATATATGTACATACACTGATACATCGTCTAAAGTAGCTTAAAATCTTTTCAAAAGGAAGTAAAAGTGGCAATGGCAATACAAAATACCGCTAATCTTTGGTCGAAATATACTTTGGAGAAATGTGGAACTCTTAAATTTAAGGCAAATACATTTTACAATTGAATACGTTCTTGTGACAGTTCCTCACGTGTTCCAACAATAGCAAATAATTTACACGAATTACCATGAATCCTTAACGTTGGCAAATGTGGAAAACATCTTCCTCTCCCGTTCCTGATTTAGACACAAAAATTAAATACCGTGTGTGGCCATGTGTCATTTTGTATCAATCATTTCTTCACTGTGACCCCCCAAAGTTATGACATGGAATCTTAGGTGGTCCATACCTATAAGTTATTGCATCTTAAACGAAACGGGTAGCAATTCAAAAAGAGCAAATTGTCAAAAGTACACAGGTATGTTGCAGAGTTGGGAGAAACAAATATGCCGGGGATTCCACAACTGAAAGAACAACGCCGCGGCTACATGTGTACAATCTAATCGGTCGTCATCTCATTCTAGGATTACGTGAAAATCGCGACAGCCGCGATAAGAAAAGAAATCAAGAGCGAGATAAAATAAAACATTGAAACATGCTAATAGAAATTTTCCCAGATAGCCAAATCCGCTGGAACAGATTTCATCAAATGCCCAGCACAAATTTTCAGTCTCCTCTCTCGAATTAAACAAGATTTAACTTGGTGCTTGTGAGAGATAAGAGTAACATAGGTTTATAATATATTCATATATTATATAAATTTAAGCTCATATATTCTTGCATTTAGTGCAAATCTTTTCTCGATGTGTCGCAATCCATGCAGCAGCATCATTTTGTTTAAGAATTTGCCGTTAAAATAAAAATATTCCTTTCTCATTGCCAATAATAAATATGGTTGTCGCTATCGATCCTGTTTTACAATAGGTCGAGGTGTAATAGCATCGGGAGTCTTTTCTGTGGATGTAAGCAGGCGACAGGGTTCAAAAGTCTCGGGCCTGTACTCTGAATCCTCTTTTATCGATAAAAGCGCCTCTAAAAGTGCCTTGTGGCCAATTGGAAGGTTTATTAGCTACTTTTATTGATAAAAGAGGGTTCAGAATGGACTTGTGTCTCTTTTTAAGGCCTGCGTCTACGATGCTAGAACTTGAACCAAGCTTGGTTCAAGTTTTAGCATCGTGGACACAGCCCTTTAGATAACAACATGGAAAAAGATAAAGGCCCGTATTCTGAATCTTCTGTTATCGAAAAAAGCGCCTCTAAAAGCGACTATCAGAAGTGACTTATCGGCCACTTTTGGAGGCACTTTTATTGATAAAAGGGAGCCGAGAATACGAGCCAGAGAGCCCAACTCTGGTTAGCGGTCAATCAGAAAACGAGAAACCGGGTCTCGAAGGCACCGCAGGCACGAAAGGCGCAGTCTTACCGAATCTGAAGATCCCCAGGATCGAATGCATGAAGAGGATTCGAAAGGCACGCAGGGACCACGTAATCGGCAGGGCCTTCGCCCGGTACGGCTCGGCGAGATGTCTCATGCATACCGCAGTCACCAGCAGCTTGACGAGATGCGCCACGACACTGCTCGCGCTCACCATGATCACCGTCTCGTCGTCTCCTCGGGCAATTCGCGATCGCTCAATCGGGAACGGCCGAGCGAATCTTCCATCCGAGATGCCGGTGTCGATCTCGCGCTCTCGAGCGGCTCGTCGTGATGCCGCGCGGCGGTCTCGTCGCTCTAACCAAACGGCAGGGGACACGCGCCCGTCATCCTGAAAAACGGACGAACCAATATTAATATATTGCGAAAGTTCAGTGAATCGTAGGAAGCGGCCACGAGGAACGAAGAAACTACACCGTGAGTACCGTCGTGCTTGACCGCTCGCTGGACCGCAACCACGTAGTTGCTTGCATGA